CGGGTTAACACAGCAGGTCATACATGGCTTGGATCAGAGAGAACTGAAATGAACATGTTTTCTTTCTTGAAGCCACAAAAACACTCAGTAGATCTTCAGTTAGCACAGTCTTGTACATTAAGTATCAATCATGTAATGGAACTACAGCAACATTCTTGAAATGGACAAGAGATTAACAAGTATACTAATCAGTATCGTGCTACCTTTTCAAAATTCAAACATTGCTTCCGGTCTGCTGGGAATTTTCCCCAGCAGTACTCTTCTTACCTGGCTTGGCATCTTTAACCTGCTTGGCTTGAGCCTTTTTCTTGACTTCACACAAGGGAAGATCGTCGTCTTCATCCCCGGAGGATTCCAGCTCCGTGCTGCACTTCCAGGTTCTCTTTCCGGGGGAGAAGACAAACAGGGGAGGTGGTCCACCGTAGAAATCGTGGAAGCTCTTCTCGGCCAGCTTGTACTTGGCTTTGTATTCGCGCTAAAGGGAGCAAACAGGATAATGAGTGACTGAAATCCCGTGCAGTTTTGGGGCCACTTTAGAAAAGAACTTGAGTTCTTAGTGGGACAGAATTGGGATTAGATCACAAAAGACACAAAGAAGAAATTATTCCATTTATGCTACTGCATCTTATAACTAATAAGTTATGCACATTCTTTGTTCTAATGTCTATACACTGCTTGCGACGTTACAGGCAATGCAAATGGCAAAGCGTGAGTGAACAAAGTACATAAACAAAGCTGAATTGATGGCCACTGACGTATACTGCCACTACCAAGGACATACTGCTAAGATATGAAAGACTTACTGTGATTATGTCTACAGCAACAACATATGATGCTTACCTTCACACACCACACATGGTTAACAATGGCACAGTGCTGCTTCAAAAATAACTTGTTCTTCTCTCTTGTATACAGGCCTTTCTTCCTCCTAAAAAAGTGACAGTGTGCAAATTCAGTTTAAAAAGAAAAAGAGAACTTGACTGGTCCTTTCTAACCCAAAATGCAAATCGCTTTGAAGTTTTATTTTGGAATAAGTGCTGTGTAGCCCAACCAACTACCGACATAACATCGTTGAGGGCTACAGAGTACCCAAGTGTGACGTCATTTTGAACCAGGAAGTGTAGTGCAAACTAAATGGAGTACGCCGTGTGTTGGATCACGAGCTGGTTTTACGCTAATGCCTTTTACACACACAGTTGCACCCATGACATATTCAATTCGGTACTCTATGGCTTTATATACAGTCATTTGCAAAAGTTTAGGACTAACCATAGAAAATGCATTAACCTAAAAGAAAACCAAACTTAAACCAATCAATCATGGCAACTTATGTTTATTTTCAATGTGTAACCTTAGTACCTTGGTTGAACATTTTTGAATACATTTCCGTGCTTTGACATGTGAGCAGTCTAATATTCAGTGTTCCCTCCTTTATTTCTGATTGCTTAGACTGGCTTTTTTTCCCAAGCTGCCTAACAGACAAAATGTCATACAATACCTGCCTCTGCAAAAAAATTTCATTCAAATGGGTATATAGCACTACACTGATGTTATGCACCACTGAAAAATCCTGTTAAGTAATCAGTCAATGAGACAATGTAATGCAGGCCCAGTGACAGACAGAGGTCTTGAACTTTTGCAAATGACTGTAGTCTCCATTCAAGAGACACACTGTTTCCCTCAGATTCTATCCTTTGTAGTGGGAAAATGTTTAGTTAGTAAATCTCATGTTATAGACTAGACAGCCAGGCTTATTTTCACAAAAACACAGAGCCACTACCCCGTGCTGGATCGACATGATGACGATGTCCTTATGTGGCATAGGTGGTAACCAATGTATGTCCTTTGAATTCTTCCTAAAAGGACACAAAATGGTTGCAACCTATGCCACGTAAAGTCATCATAATCATGCCGATCCAGCACTGGGTACTGGCTCTGGTTTTTTCAAGGTCTGCCTTTCACTGAATGATTGCCTGCTACCTAAATACCACGGCAACCCTTTTTGCCTATGACAATGGCGGATGCATGTCCTGTCACGCGAGTCAGTAAGAGCCCCTCATTTCAAGGGTTTAAAGGGGTTGAGGATAACATTAGGTCTCAAGTAAAATGTAGGAGAAAAAGAAACACGAGAAGAAACTAACCCGATATTTTTGTAGTCCACTTCGTAAGTCCCATTACCCTGGAGAGACATGACTTGGTAGCGGTACTCACTTGACTCTGGAGTTTGAGGTGGACCAGTCTGATTGCTGAAAACCAAATCGACATCGAGCGCATCAAAGAGAGAAATGAAAGGCTATTGCTGCAAAACAAGGTGTGACAGCCACCAAAATATTTTGATATTCCTCGTGGAGACCTACAGATTAACTGGACATAATGTGCAAGCCTACCTACGGGAAAAAATGAGGAAAAAACAGACACACAAGAACGAGAAAACTGTAAAGCAAAGACTCGGTGAAAAGGAAACATATTGTGACGCTTTTGTATCACATCCCATTTATAAATGTTGACATTCGTCACATAGCAATCCAAACTCAGGTTGTCTGTGATATCAGGCATGCACCAAACGTAAAGCTGAACTAGGACCCTCATTTCAGTCGCATTCACCAAACTTCCTCAAGCATCTTTCCAACAACAAAGAGCTGCAACTTATACCATGACATAAGGCATCTATTATCAAAGAACTCTGGCTTGTGACTAGTTGAGCATTTCTGCAGTCACACAGCTGGTGCTGTGAATAGTGACTGCAGAACTGTGGCTGGCAAAAGCAAAACAAATGGGACCAAATCTGGAGAAAAGTTGAGACTCTCAGCAACAAACTGTCCGGACTTCACACAATGACATCAGGCATGAATTGCTGTGAACTGCCCTCCGTCTTTTGTTTTGGTGTCGTCCAGCATCGCTAATTACCTTGTCTTGGGCTCACCCATCTTGAGGACCTTTTCCTGGCCATCATCGTCAATAATGATGACATCATCACTATCGCTGGCTTCCCCATTGGTAAACTCACTCCCTCCAGCAGGCGGAATCACCCCAACCACTCTGCACGTCTCCCTGCATACAAATAAATAAATGAAGTATAAATAAAGGAATAAATTTTTTAAAATCCCTAACATGCATATAGGTTAATGCAGGCCAGTGCTCCCAAATTAGATTAACTTAGCTCTTCTCCAAGTTTTTGTACAGAGAATCAAATCATCTGAAAAGACCTTATGCTTCAGTACATATATGTGCCTCAGTACTGACCTGGACTTTTCTCTAGTTGACACTCACTTGCAGGATTATTTTATGCCTAAAATGTATTTCTGTGAGGAACCACAAAGTTATGTAAATCAATTGCTCTTTCTTCAATAGGCTACAAATTTTATATGTTTTATACATATTACATCAATGCCTACTTTACAAAATAAATGGTTTTTATGTTTTGAAATCAGCAGTAATGTAAAGTAAAACCTGTCTTAGCGACCACCTGTGCATAACGTCCACCTGTCAATAACGACCATTTTTAAATCCGCCGATGAAAAAACTGATGTTTTTGTACTGTGTATAACGACCAACTGTTCAAAGCGACCAGCAATCACCCATTATTGCACCAGTGCAGGCACTAAGTCTGTACAGAATGACTGCCAGAAGAGGAAAATCATCATGCTGCTGGACAACGCCACATGTCACCCACACCTGCCACTAAAGCAAATCAAACCCCGAACACAGCATCTGTGACACAGCCTATGAACCAAGGCATCATCCAGGTGCTGAAACTCAAGCTCAGAAAGAAACAGCCGAGCAGTGTTTTGCAGAAGTTGGAGAGCAACAAGGAAATGACTGGCCCTGACTTGCTTAAGGCAACCAATGTCTTACAGACCATCTACTGGGTTGAGCAGTCATGGAGAGAGGTAGACAGCACTACCATCCAGAAATGCTTCAAGAAATGTGGGGTTGGAGCAGATGTGGCTGCTGAAGAGGAAGGAGAAAACAAGGCAGCAGAAGATGGGGCTCTTGAGTCTGCTTGTTGCAAGGCACTGAACATTTCCCTACAAGAACTCAGTCTGAGAGAAGACAGACTGGCGACTACCGACAACAATCCAGTCTCATCCATGGCTGATCTCCAGCAACGCCTCCATGACAATGAAGACCTTGAGAGTGATTGGAAGGAGGAAAATCACAACAACGAAGAACCTGGCTACAGCACTGTTGTCAACAACTTTGAGCAGTTGGCAGCCATGTTGACAGATCTGAGAAATTTTGCTGTCATGAAGGGCTGTGGAAATCTAGTTGATGCCTGCATGGACATGGAAGAGAAAGTTGCAGCAGAAAGCCTTCGTCGACGTCACGCCGCTAGCCAATCATCAATCCTGAACTTCTTCAAAAAAGTTTGAGCACTGACTCCAACTGGCCCACAAGGAGGCCACACCAAACCAATCGGCTCTTTTCAGAGCCAACATTATGGCACTGTGTGAGAAACATCCCCGTCATTGGGCTAGTAATGCGCCGCTGCAGCAGAGCTAATTCTCACAAAACAATTCCAAAACCTTGTAAGATCCCCTTATTAAAAATAAAATGAGGTGACCCAGTCTGTTTTTCATATCATCGTTTATCACATAAGTCTTAAAAACTCAACAACACACTAAAAATACATGTACAAGTATTTAGAATAAAATCAAATAAATTTAAAGATTTTTCCGTTTAACCCTAACCCTACATAATACTACAAAGTACTACTTGTAGTAAAATGTAGTAATCAGTGCTGCCGCTTGTTAGAGGACGTGACCATATTGTTCTCTGAAGCCGTAAAATACAATAGAAAAGACAATGTACCATATAGTGCTGTGGCACTATGAATGCATGGCTTTATTGTTCTCAGTACAAGTAACAATGGAAGTAACCTGGACAGAAGTCGTAATTTTTAGTGCTAGGTCCTTCAGGCTCAGGCTACTACTTAGTATTTTGTAGTACTGAGAACTCTAAACAAAACAATATGCGTGACGGTCAGGGTTAAAGCACAATCACGTCATTATGGGCTGGACGCAATGGTTGCTATATAAGGCAGATTTAACTGACTTAACTTTCCATGTAAGGGTCGCAAATATTGCCAACCTGTATAGAGAGACCACCTGTCAAGAAGACCACTTTTTCTGTTTCCCTTGAGTGGTCTTTATGGACAGGTTTGACTGTATTCTGAGATCAGAGATTTATGAAATAGAGTAACGAAAAGTAACTTTCACCAAACATAATCATGCTCACCAGGATTCAGTGCAATGAACTGCACCTTAGGGGTGGGTTAGGCTGAGCATTTTGGGGGGCGGGATGAAGTCACAATATGTATCGGTACTGAATATAGTATATTGTAATTAGACTTACAGAAGTCAGAAGGGGAACATTTAATCTGCAGTGTGCACATCTTATGGTTGTATGACATGTTTCAAATGTCACTTCCCTGAATGTTAATGAACGGCGGCAGAAGGATTTGCAATGGGGGAGGTCCAGTTGTGAGACATCAGGCATCTGCATTAATAGGCCTATCTATTGAGTCCCACCCCATTACATGGCCTGAGTAATTCCACAAATTAGGAGTCCAAAAGTGTGACATTTTTGTGTCCCTGTTACATCTGAACTTTGTTTTTTGACATTTAAATATTACTGGAATTGATTGCAAACTATTACTATTTGTTTGGCAGGTTATCTGCATTAAATTATCACTCTCGGAAATTAGAAAATGTGCTCTGAACTTACAAAATCTTATGTCAGATGTAACAGGGACACAAAAAATGGACTCCTAATTTCTGGAATTACCCACCTACAAAACATGGGGGGCCATGCTTCCCAGTCAAAAAAGTGGGAGAGGGCACTGACCCCCTGGCCCCCGCCGCCAGTGATGTTAGTTAGCCATTTTGAATGAGGTGCAAGTTATTGAACTGTTGATTCAATGTCCACTTTGTGTAATTAATCCAGTGGCGTACCTCATCCCCTTGTGCGAGACATCCACGATCTCCCCAATGAAGTAACGGTCCCGGGCAAAGACGAAGACATCGTCACACAGATCGGCCAGACGGCCCCTCTGGGTGAGGGTGACCAGGTAGAGGATAGGGCCTTCCAGGTAGACAGGGAAGCTGGCCAGGTACCGGCGCGCCTTGGCTTCGCTCTCCACGGCCTCCTGGTAAGTCAGGCCGGGCTTGCCTGTCAGACTACAACTCCACACTAGGCTGTTACACAGGATAGTCCGCTTGAAGAACTCACTGGAGGCACAAGTACGGTCCAAAGTAGAAAATTCAATTGAAACTCACTCTTGCATTCTTGCTAGTTGTCCAAAATAACTAAATGAGTACAATATGAGTTAGTATGAAAATGGTTAACATAACTTTTCACATTTCACAGTCAGAGTGCATATGCAACAATAACCTAACACAAAATTACATTATCATCAAAAAGTTTCAACCACTTCAAAATGTCTAGTAAATAGCCTGGTTCAATCATTTTGAATACAACATCTAAGTACAGTCTGACAAAGTTTCTGATTAACAATTATAAATTAGGAGTATTTCCACTATTCAAATCTTACTGACAAACATCTGTTCACTCAAGCCGTGCCAGTCACTCAATTTTCCTTCTTCAACAAGTTGTTTCACACGCAATTAATCCTCCTAAATTTTGGGCTTAACACCTGAACATGTCAGCCATACCATACTGAACTGGCCAAAACATGAAACTTCATTAGGCCTGAGACTGGAAAATGGCCTTGGATTTAATTGTTGGCGTCTTGGAGAGGCCACATGGGAAAAGCCCCAACACAAGAATCCATCATATCCATGGTCTGATGGTAGGCCTATTTATGTATCACACAGCTCTAGTTATGCATCACACAACATGTACAACCCACTCATGCCAACACGAACTCTTCCATTCATTAGAAACTCCTTCCCAAAGAATTAGTCCCAATAACAAAAGCCCATGAGCAAACGCAAACCCCTTCAGTCCGTGCACCCGGCAGTGTAGCGCCGTGTGTTATGTTACGGGTGCGGGTACACGCATACATGATGGAAGGTTCCTTCGTAGAGGAACAAAAATGGCGCAATTTTGCGAACTGCTCTCACATTGGTCCAACACTTCCTACCACACGTCTGAATACAAGAAGCACAGGTCGACCTAAACACATAAAAGCACACGTGGATTGTCCCTGAGACTCACTTGAAATCCCTGAATAGTTCATTTGTGAGTCTGCAGACGAAAACCTCCTCATCTGGTCGTAAGTCCGGAGGAGGTTTGATGGGCTTGAACTCTCGGCGCCGTAGCAAAGGCATCGTTCATGCGTTGACCATCTGCGACCACACATAAACCTGCAACAAACAATGACCGGGAAAAGCACACTTTTTATGAATGGCCCAAAACACGGTATCTCAAGTTACACGTGGCTTAAAATGTGCACCAAGAGTGTCACAAATGGTCAAATGAAGCGATGAGCTTATTTTCGGCCATGGATGACAAAATACTTGCCCAAATCTACGGTGAAATTCTGGTGTCTTGAAAAACAAGTTCTGCCACACGACGTGATATTGAGCCAACGTTCATATTTTATGCAAGTGCACTGACGCATTCTACAACAGACCACCGTTGGGGTAGGGTAGATAAAGTGCTCGAATTTACCAAAGAGAGCTAATAGATTTACATGTAACTTGGCAGTGTAGTAAATAACATCTGCCGACACATACCTGAGAAATTTCATACACTCCAATGATGATTTCATAGAATAATCTAGTTTTATAGCAACTGCCTAACACCAAAAGTGATCATCTAGAGTGTTGAGGGCGGGAAATGAATGCCTGATTTGGAAATCTAATGTGACGTCACTTTGACTGACAGGTAATTTTGGACCGCAGAGTTGACTTGAATATTTTAACATCTCATATCATGAAGCGCGCGTAAACTCGAATAACATTAATAGTTTGAAAATACAATTTCACATTTTTACCGATGCACTTACCCTTATAAACATTGTGTGATATCTTTTCTTTACAATTACTATAATTAGTTTCTTTTAAATTTACTATCATTTTCGGTATCAGAGAGGGGAAGGGGTGACCCCCTCCATCCGCGTCGGTGCATTTATTCCATTTTTCACTGGTTAGTTGGATTTGTTTTCAGTGAGTAATGTGAAGGCTGACATGTAACCTTTCAGTTGACGACAAAGTGGATAAATGCCACATCTAGTTGTCCCAATAACGACGGAATTAGGAGGCAAGCCAGGAAACGTAACGCATGCCGAACCGTGACTTCGGCAGCATCTGCTGGGGAGGGCACCCGATTGGATGCTTTAAATTGCCTACATTTAATTGCATTTTCTTGAGTGATCTTTTGCATGAATAAAAAAAATAGCTTTGTGTTATCACTATCAGAAATAAAAAAGGAAGGAGAAAAAGATTCTTTTAATAATCTCCTTTCCTGGTTCCAACATAGAATCATATAACATAATACAATATTGTTCCTTGTTACATTAACAAAATGTAGCTGTTGAAAAGGGAAGTCAAACTAATGGTTAATTGTATTTCCTTTCATAATTCACTTTTTCCAATTTAGTGCAATTTTTTAAGCCATTAATTACACTGTATTAAAATTGACGACCAAATGTACGTGTACTTTGAAAAGTAAACAGAAACACAAAACACATTTTTTTTTCAAACAAACTTTAATTTTATGACTCAATTATTGTACATCTTCATGTCATACAATGTATACCATTTTGTGTACATAAATCTTAGACATTAAAACTATTGTACAGCTGAGTTTTAAAATGACCCTTGGAAAAAGTCCACACACATCTATGAAACTGCTACAATTTCATTCATAGGTCAATTACATTTAATATTACCAATAAATTCAACTTACTTTTAAACAGAGTTATTTCAGTTTGACTCATTAACAGAAAACCACACGTTAAAAACGTCCAGTAGACATGACAAGTGCGTCCTTCACACAAACACAGTACACTGTTTACTTGTATGAAAATTCAGTCTTAAAGATCCGAGTACTGGGTGCTTGTTCAATAAGGCACAAGCTACAATTTGCAACATATTATTTAGTTTCTGTGAAAAATATATTTCCCCTTTAAAAACCTTTTATAACAATTTAAGGGAAAGGTCTGCTTAAATCTACCTGCCAACCCACACATTATCATGTGAAAACTAGCTTCTTCATAGGTATTATAATCATTTCCAATTAGTTTGCTTTAAAAATGCAGTTTTTAATGCTTCAGTTACTAACATCAAGAAAACTATTTCCACCAGATGTACATGTAGATAAGGTGCAATGACCTGATGCAGAAAAGTACAGCAATTTTTGAGAAGAAATTGTAAAACCAACACACATACATGTATCAATGTATTAATGTATTACATCATGTATTAACACTAACCCCCCTTAGATGTAAGTAAAATCATATTGAAATGGGAGGATTTGGGACTGTTAGGGTTAATAAACATTTGTCCTTTTCATAGTCCAAAGACAAGACTTTCTTGTTTAATATTCATAAGCAGGTTCTGGTAAAGGTTTCTGACAGGAAAGGATATGTTGACCATCGGGTGCAACGGAACAGGTCAATCCTGTACCATGTCTTCAAGTATTAAATGATCTAAAGCATAACGGCAATGATCGTGCTTCCCCAGGCAAGATTTTCATGTCAGAGAGTCCAAAAGCCAGCAACACACCAACACTATGACACATCATTCGCAGAGCCTGGAAGATTGCTCCTCACAGTGATGTACAGCTGGACACAAGCTTTTCCTAATGGTGCCATCTCTTTCCACATGTCCGAGCCTTCTAGGTGACAAATATCCTGTTGATTGTAAAAAGTGACAAATAGCATCTGTAATAATTTTTCTGACACGTTCAATCAGGCATTGCCTAAAAAGCAACAGCACCTGTTGATGGCATCGTAGCCACCACTGAAACATTCCTACTGAACATGTACACCAGCGACCAAAACGCATGGAATGAATGTTACACTCAGGTTCTCCTCGGGGCCACATATTAACAAAAAAGATAACAGTCGACTCTTAGAATAAAAACAGTCTTATGACAAAAGGCTGCTGTAATGGGCAAATTCGTAGAATCCTAACTTCTTGAATTCTTGTGTTTTCTTTCTTTTCCTACTCCTTTTATAACAAAGTCAAGGTTATAACAAAATAATTTGTCTGGTTCCTTTTACTTTGATAGAACGAGAGTCAAAGTAATTCAAGGTGACAGGACTAATTGCCCTTTCTATCATCATCAAGGAATCTGCAATGAGCTAGTTTTAGTATTTCAAAATAGCAAAGTCATTTGGTAACAAAGCACACACATGAGTTGGAGTAGGGCCGTGCTGACAGGGTAGACCACACACACGTACACGCATCCATATGACCTTGGCACCTTCCATTTTGGGCATGGTCTGTTTGAATATGGATCTGGCTCACTGGTGGAGCCTACCAAACTCCAGACTTGGTATACAATTCAGTCTGAACAGAAACAAGGGATATTGCAGTTGAGGACAAAGGAGAAACTTTGAAACCTACTGATAAGTGAATGAGTTTTAGTTCTGTTGACTCCTCTGCCTCTGATCCGCCAGCTTGGTACATCTCTCTCACTTCACTAGACAACAGGGCACACCTCAAAGAGAGATATTTGGACAAAAACCTCCAAAATTTGCAATAAATAACAGTGCATTCTATTCCTGAAAAATACAGCCCTGGATTCCCATTTTAAATTTGCGAAATCAGGATTGAATACATGGGCTGTAGAGGTTTTTCAGCCACACGATTTTTGATGGTCAGTGTTCAATTGCTGCAGATGTTTATGCGCACACCTTCGAAGTCTCTCAAGCTTCTTGCACACATGAAATTGCCAATAGAAATATACCAATTCTAAGATGCATGCACCTCCATGGATTTGAAACACTTCCTGAACTGGCTTTGTGCATCAACTGGTGTCACATGAAAACTTTTCAGAGACAAATATAAGCATCTGGTCACAGCACACTCACAAGCCTCTTTGTAAGGGCTTAGGCACTGTCAAAACTATGATCAAAAACATTAATAGTCTGAAAAAATACCTAAAAAAATGTCTCTCAAATCACTGGAATTGGAGGCCTATGTGATGTTCTGAGTGTGTATCTCAATGCATAAACTTTTCTATAGCTTCATGCAAAATACTGAAGTACATAGCAGTCGCAATTGATCCACAAAAGCAATCTCAGGGCAGTAAATTGTTCACTCGGTGGAATGTTTCTTGGTTAGGCCATGTGTTCTAATAGCTCCATGGTTAGTAACATTGGAAAATGGACTTGGCAACAGTTTATTTGATAAAAATGCAACTACTTGCATTATTCCCAGGCGAGATGCAAACAACTGAAAGTGCCTCACTTCCTTCACAAGTGCTGACAAATTGATCCGTTAATTTTTCACACTTTACAGAATGTACACAGGGATCCAAATAGAACACAAGTGCTATAGTCTCCTTGAACACAAAGAGCCATGGTAAAACAGGCATTGAATAATAGGCCTGATGCAAGCAGGTGCGTTCAGAGGGGGAACCTGCCACTTGGGACATCGCATTGGTATTACCATGAAAGAACGGAATCAACATCGGAGACTGTATTTCTTCCAATTTAGAAAATCCCTTCCAATGCTTACTTGACAAAGAATTGCATGCCAGGCCTCCCAGAGCAGGTGTGATTCTTGGACACGCCCATCAGGTAAGGCTCTCCAAGCTTGGATTCAGGAATATTGATCTCATCTCGTACTTCTCTAATCGCTGAGTTGATGAGCTCATTTCTTACATCAAGTTCTGCGAGATCAGATAAGGTGATTTCTTCCAGTTTGGAAGATCCCCCTTTGACCTCCTTTAAAAAGAAACGACAAAACAAAAAAAACTGAAAAAGACAGAAAAAACACATCAACGTTTTTCAAATTTGTAATTAGTCAATATACGACTGAGAATTCTGCCATAGCAGCATTTTCCAAAAAATATAAATAAAATTATCACCAAGGTATGACCTTCACTGGAAACTTTTTGATATGTACTCAAACACCTTTGAAATATCTACTTTTGAGAAGTATCACCGTGCTTCCACTTATAATGTCTAGTGAACTCTTAAACTAATTTTTCTTGATGTAATGTACACAGTAAGGTTAACTTGTTCTCTTTTTAATTTATTATCATCTTGAAATCGTACAATGTCAGTATGTTAGCCTTTTGGCTGTACAGTGTATGTTACAGACAACCATACATAATAAAGTGGCAACATCTTTCTATTCTATTATTAATACATGTGCAAGATTGTTTACATAAGCAGTAATTTGAAATAGAAACCAATCCGTATGAATTTGATACTGAATGATTATTGTGTGAAACTCTGCATATTCATGTAAAATTGGTCCAGGTAACAGCAGGCATATTGAGAAATGTTGGTTTACTTTAGGTTATGGTGTCAGAGATCACTGATAATAAGATTTCTACCAAAAAGTTCTACCGATGGTTCTGGGTGTCCTCCTGGTATATCCCACAATCCTTGTGCTTCGCCAACGCTTGCGCTTCTCCGTATAAAGATGACAAGGTCATCTTGAGTCTGCACAAATGCACTCACTCCCAGGGCATCAGCCATGTAGGCTTGACTGTTGGCGAAGTCCTTCTTCCCTAATGCTGACAGCTCGGCAGCATTGTCGGCCCAGTTAGTCCCAATAAAGTCTTTATATCCAGTGAGTCCAAGACAGAATGTGACTGAACAGCTGTCCTCGCCAAAGCTACCAGCTTTGATTGTATGGAACCTGAACTTCGAGCCATTGTAGAGTTTAGGGTTGTTTTTCCTGCGCAGTTCCCATATCCTATCGATGTTGGTCTCGTTGGATGGGAGAAGCTTGCGGTTGTAGTCCTTGCAGAGTTGGACTTGGAGTTTGGATGGTGGGATACCAGGGAATTTGGGTGCCACAAAATCTAAGGTGAACTCTACATCCATATTTGTCATTGCTATAAAAAGTTCAAGAGGGCAGGTGGGAGAAGTACAATTTGTGAGTAAATCCAGTGATAATGAACAAACATTGGAAAGAGTTGCATATGCGAATGCCAGTAGGCCTAATTATTCCCAACAGTGACCTATAGTATTAGCCGTCGAAAAGCAAACAAATATCCAGAAAAGTTCACATTAGGAGGAGAAAACCAAGTCGTTTACTTAGAAAACACTTAAGAATTTTTCAGACCAGTAGGTTTGTGCACGGGGTGTGAAGTTACCCCCAGTCCCAGAACTGTGGGGTCTGACGTCCGCCCGGGCCCCGGGGCCCCGCTCCCACGTGGCAGCGAGGCGGAAGTCAGAACCCACAGTTCTGTCCGTAGGCTCTTTCCACAGCTGGGGTGCTTGGTACAACTAACCCAAGTAAAAAGCAAAATGGGCACAGTTGGATCACACCTAGTACTACTACCGGGCTACTTCTCACCAACTATAGTATTATTATTTTGGAACAGACGACGCGAGTTGCAAGATTTGCCCACAACCACTTCGCCCATTTGCGACATCCCCCATTTGCCACTTTGCCCGTTTGCCGCAATCCCATTTATCACTATGCCCGTTTGCCACTTCACCCATGGGCCACTTCGCCAACGGTGCCACGGCGAAGCTTCTGTTGAAAAAAATTGTAGTGAGAAGAAGACATAGACACAACACACAGAAACGCAACTACTCAACTAACTCCTCCTGGATTCATCCTGAATACAATGAATTTTGAAACTCGAGGTTTCGTTTGATGCATGTTTGATGTAACGGCGATAATACAGATATAGATAAAGCTAAAAGTGGGCACGGGGTGGGGGCACACACCCTGCCCTGGGGGCTCTCCGGGCCAACCCCAGAACTCAGGGTCTGACGTCGGACCCCACAGTTCTGGGGGTACTCCGGGCCCGCGACCAATGGCTCTATATGTCCTCCTTATATATCCCACAATCCTTGTGCTTCACATGGAGTACATTCTGCATGTTGACAACCTGACACTGATACGAAATAATGAAAAACTTCCGGAATACTTAGTGAGTTTAGTTCACACAATTAGAGGTGTACTCTTTTGCGAAACTTCCAAGGGTTTTAGCAGAAACTTTTTTTTTTTTTGTTCTGTTCTGGTGGAATACTGCATCCTCATCGGGGATGTAATATGCCGGCGATCTTCTATTGTGGCTGGGTCTTGACATTTTGCTTATTGTGTTTCCAAAAAATGCACGAAATAAACCTGTTAAAAGCTTGATGTAGAGATTCAGAGCGTGTATAATAACACAAAGATATTGTGCGGGCGAAGTGGTAAATGGGCAAGGTAGCAAATGGGCGAATAGGGTGTGGGCGAAGTGGAAATTGGGCGAAGTGACTGAAAACGTACATACATTAAATCGCCAAACCTGAAGAAACGCGCATGCGCATTGTGCCTTGACAACAGTCGTGTTATGTGAAGGGAAACAACTTTCCGAGTCACGCGAACCGCTTGCTCCGCACGGTAGTTGTTGTCTTTTTCCTTGTTACTTGCAAGAAAATCCAGAGAACCTTGTCGAAACGCACAGAACCATGGAGTCAGAAGGTCTGCATCTCAATATTGACTACGTCGGATCTTGTGGGATTCTGCTGAGTCCCGAGCAAAAATCATCGCTTCAAAATTCGCTTGTGATTCTTCAAAATCATTACAAATTCAACAGGGTATTTTTCTGGGGGCAAATTAAAGGCATCAAGGGAGACTACTTCATTGCTCAAGGAACTGGAAATGATGAGTTAGCTGACAGAAAAACTTTGTATAGGTATGTCAGAACGAAAGGAGACACACCATTTAATGTCTTTTATTTTGAGTGTTTTATTCCTCCATGTTTTGACATGATCTTAGCCAAAAGGCCGAGATATGTTTAGATACGTAACTAACTTGAAGTTTTGGTTCACACTAACATGACTAACCATGCTAACATACATGTAAGCTAAGCTATTTGATTTGGATATTTATTTTGAAGCCATTGGAAAGTGTTCCATATACATACTTACCGGTAGGCCTAATTCAGTAATTGACACCCTGTCATAAGACGAAACAGGCAGAGTGAGAAAAGCATGAAATCTATGCCAAGGGCCTAGTACTAGTTGCCATACAGCAACCCACACAAGCGTCGAGTAAAACACAAAGTAAAAAACGAGTCATAGGCCTACTTGAGGTAAATCATGATCCAGCGAATGAATGTTATTTGTCTTCTCTTTGAAAGAATAGACGTTGCCTTTGCACAAATTACCCTGTGACTGTATGAGACTGGTCTGGAAACTTCTAACGTACTGATTTGTATTTATTTTTTTGCCAGCATGGTACTTAATGTGCACAGACTAGTGACTATTTTGGGGAGTTGAATGTTTGACTGCACATGACAAATCTTTATCTGATTCCATTGTAAATTCATGTTCATGAGGATGAACTCAGTGCTTGTGCAATTTTGGACTTCAGTTTCCCTTAGAATCCTTTTAGAGCCACAGCTCAGTAATTAAAGAAAAGCAAAATAAAATAGAACTTAAATAATTAGGCCTTATTGCAGCTTATGTGTTGATTCAGTTTAAAGCAAAAATGTAACATTAATTTGCTGGTTTAGCCCGCCAAGATTCAACCCAACAACTGTATGCTGTTGATATCGTCAGTGCACATGTAGTGCTGCTATTTAACAAAAAAAAATGTGTGGCAGAAAGACAGCACAGTACACACTTTGAAGTCAAAAAGAGAAGGAGAATATCATGTTTAAACTCTTGATTTAAGCCAGATGCATATAAACCAAAGTTTTATTGGCCTGTTACAAAACAGAATTTCCGTCTTATTCAACCCATTTTCAACTTCCCACTTATCAAAGGTTCTTAGTTCTACTTTTAAACTTTCTATCCTGTAGAATCTATGCACTTCCCAGTTCTGCTGTTGACTCAAGTTTGAAAATGAGCAAGTGTTAACTTATAAAATGTATTTTAGAAAACTTGATTTTGGAGCATTTTATGATTTTTAGAAACATGCATGGAATAAACCTTGATATGCACTAATGTTACATCTTGATGAAACAGTAAGCCATTTGTGAGTTAAATTTGAATAAAATCTGGTACATTGAGGTCTTTAAATTCATGTGAACATAACAGTTTGAGTTCTCCCTACAAAAGACACTGTTGCAATAGACCACTCTCATTTTGCTTACAATTTGTATGGGTGACCAAAGTTTGCACAAATCATGATTTTGTGGTTTTTGATTTTACCTCAAATTGGTTCAAATGGACATTTGTCACATTAGTTTTATTTTCATTTAGTTTGTATACTTTTACTTTTGTACTGACAGCTGGCCATAGTTGTAGCAGCCACTTGTAGGAATACATGTATACCCAGCAAGATATGGGATGGGGGTACCCCCCCTCCTACGTTTCCAATCTGTACATACTCTAGACTATTGTGACCTAACACATCCCCCCAGATGTCTGAAAAGAATTCCCTGAGATTCTGATCAAACATTATGACCAACACAAAGGTGAGGGGGTGCTCTCTGTCCCATATCTTGTTTCAAATGTGTAGGAAAAATATGACTTTGATGTCAAAAGAGCAGACCCTGTATACCTCGTGATTTGGGGCAAGCTTTTGCCTGGTCACATCAGAGGCTTCTTACATCAATGAGAAAAGCTTAAAGTAACCAGTCCAGTGATGATGATGGTCACTATGCTAAAGCTTGCCCCAAATCAGTAGGTTTAGCAATAGTGCCTTTAGTCAGGGAAATTCAAATTATGTTTATGTGCAATCAGAGAACTCGGTGTACTAGATTTGATTCAAATTTAACTCCCAACAGGTTTATTCCTGTGATCAATGAAACTTGTAGAGATATAACCTACCACCAAAATACAATGTATATTATTTTAAAGTGAGTGGACTGATAAGTTTATTTCCCTGCTCAGCTTGGACTGTGTGACATGGGGACTCCTTCCACAAGCCACCCAAGCCATCAGGGAGCAGTGCTCTGTGGTGAAAGGCAGGTTCATTGGTGATCCCTCCCACGAGTACGAACATGTTGAGATCAAGAGAATTGGTGAGGGGGAGGATGCGACTGAAGAAGAAAACACAGTGAGTGTTAGCCTCTTGTTTTAAAAATGTCTTACTTTGCTAAGGTGCTAGAAATTTTATTTTTTAGCACCAGCCGGCACATTCAAGCGAAAAGGAGACTTTGAGATACTTATGGGTGTAAGACAAAGCAGTCCTTTTCCACAGTTGTGCGCATGCTGAGAACTACATGTACAGCATATGCACAGAACTAACAAGCTAGGACCAGTCAGCTTGCCACCACCAAGCGTTGCAAAGTCTCCCATTGGTTTTTTACTTATAAACATACAAAAAAAAAAATTCATTCCACTCTTATTATTCCAAATTTCCGACAAGTAGGAAGCTACATGGATATCTTCGTGAGTGAGCAGCCATAATCCAGATCTGTCAATGAACAATGTACTCTTCATATAGTCACAGTTTAGACTGGTTATTCCTAAGCATTCCCCTAAAACTTAATGTCCAATTTCAGCTGTTTTATTCAGGAGAATGCAGCTTTTGTAACTGGCATCTCAGTTTCTGGTGCTGACTTTTCCTGCAGATTATGATCAAAGAGGAGGACCGCCTCGCGTCCGTCATTGCTCACATAGATGAAGAAGTTGCCATTGTACCCAGGGGAGCCTACGTCAAGACACCGCATGGTACTGTGCTCAAAAACCGCAGTTTCGAAGGTAGGCCCCATGGAATAATTCATTGCAGGGGTTAGCAGACCTTAGGCATGTTAAATAGCACACTACCTGTACATGTACATATGCCAGCAGTGGTATGCCCTGCAAACCTTTATTGTCGTTGGTACAAATGCATAGCATTGCACCACTGAACTTACCCCTTGGCTTTTCATTTTTGGGGGGGTTAGGTGATCTTCCTTGGCCTATAGATTGTGTAAATTGATGTAACCTTTTGTTTTTCAGGACCTTAATACCTTCTTGGTTCTCAGGACTCTTCATGAATAACGTAGTTTTATCCCTTTAACCATATGCTGCCGGGTTTAATATGACGTATTCCCGAGGGGTTTTCAAGATTTTCCATTTTTAGAATTCTTCAAAAATTCATAACTTCATTTGCTGGATGTTTACACCCACATGAATGACTGTGTGGTTTCTACCCTAATCTGACAGAAACATCTATTGTCACCTGAGGATTTCAGCCAGGCCTGTTGCCTTGTAAAAAGAGCCCATTGTGCGGTGTTGCATAATCTTCTTTTGTTCCGGAAACTGGCCCAGTGCGCTGCTGGCATCTTTTCAAATGCGGACCAGATTAGGGTGCAGTGGTACTGTATTGCCCATCCCTGGAGCGCTTTTGTCCCCAGTGGTAATCCACTCATGCTGAATGCCATGAACAGTGGTATAATCATTCAAAACAATGATGGATTTCCTCCACTAACGACAACTGAAAAAAATGTTGGCAATAAGCCATTTGCGAGTTAAATTTGAATAAAATCTGGTACACTGAAATTCTTTAAATTCACATGAACATAACAACTAGAATTTTCCATACTAAGATCACTGTTGCTAAACCTCGTGATTCGGTGCAAGCTTTTGCTTAGTTACCTAAGAGACGCCTTGCAACAATACACTGTTCTCAATGGATAAGAACGGCACAAAGGAACCAGTCCATTCCAGAGATGGTGGTCGCTATGCAAAAGCTTGCCCCGAATCACGAGGTATAGCAACAGTGTCTTTAGTCTGAAGAATTCAAATTGTTATGTTTCTATGCAATCAGATAACACAGTGTACCAATTTTATTCAAATTTGACTCGCAAGTGGCGTATTCCCAGCAGCCCAGTCTTTTGTTCCAAGTAGGCCTGCAGTCTTTTGTTACAATGCTAAGCTCCTTTGTCCAATTTTGGGCACCCTGGCTATGCGTACAAACCCAAGGTACTGGTGCCTTGTACTGGGCACCCTGGCACGAAGTGGTGAAGAAGGCATTGAACCATAATTATGCTACTTCATCCAGTGCATTCTTTCTTTCTTAGATAAAAAACCCAATCCAGACGTTTACCCTTTGTCTGGAATTGTTCATATTCCAGGCTTGTCTGTGACTGAATCTGGAAAGCTGCACAACTACTTCCACTTCCGTGACCCCATCCGGCTGAGTGAGAAGAGCCTGTTGGAGAAGGCTGACTTAGAGAAATCCATTGACTTCCTGGATCCTATCCACGAGGATATACCAAGAGGTAGGGGAAAGGGTCACAAATCTTGTTACTAATCCGTAGATGGGAAGTTGGCTCCTGTCTCAGTATTCTAGAAAAGAACTGTGGAAGCTTCAGGGTTGGGCCCTGAAATTGCTAGTCATTTGGATAAAATTGGTAATTTGGATTTATTAAGCAACATGCATGGAAAACATTCCCAAGGGAAATCTGTTTCGCAGATACTCTTTTGTGCCTCAAATAAAAAAATGCCCCAGTGTGTGCTTTTATTACTCATGTAGAGCCTACACTTGGAGGTGTTCCTCCTTAATCCCTCCAAATCCTCCATTTTGCAAGGACCATTTTCAAACTTTCACAAGGCACAAAGGATCTCACTCTCACTCACTGGCTGTTCCCCTTTGACCCTGTATTTCTAATCTGAGTCTTTGTTGGTGCCCCATTTTGCTGAAGGGTCCTGGAGTTTGAAGTTTGAACGAGGCAGTGGACTGGTGTCCATCCAGAGCGCTCTGTGGCCAGGCTTGGCATTCTTCCATGTCCCCCACACCCCAAAGTTTGGCTACGTCTACTTCGGGACTGGAGAGAAGAACAAAGATCTGCCATTCATGTTGTGAGAAGAGAGCGGGAGCTATGTGTAAATGATGTATAGATTTCTTTAAACTCTTTACAAACTCTGGTAGAGTTTCTTTGGATTTATCATTGGAAGAATTGCTACCTGGTACATGTAGTTTACTGTGGTCTGGTCCAAAGCAGTAACAGTGCATTGTGGCTTTGACTTATATACTGGAACATCTCTAAGGCCATGTACATGTACACTGTCCGTTTGGCTTTTCTTGGAATATTCAGACACAGATGTATCAAAAGTAACTTTCTTGTACATAATAGTTTAAATGTTGACAACTGGCATCCCATTTGAAAGTTGTGCAGGCTTGGAAAGGAATATTTCCCGTCTTTCAAAACACAATTTTGAATGTAAATGTATACTTGACCAATTTTAAGGGAATTTTCCAAATATTATAAAGTACTTACATTATTTGAAAACTATTTCTTGCTGCACCGTTTAAAGATGATATCAACCATCTTTTTCGTAATTCTTAAATTTACTTTTTGGTCAAAATGTCTGCGAGGTTTAATCTTGGGGTATTGTAGCAGGCCCTTGTCACAAATAGTTCCGTCCATTTTAGACTGAATATCGGGCCCTAGTTGACATCAAAGATTAAGGCATGTGGTTTAGAAAAATCTTTTCCCTGGTTTTTGTCTGCAAAGACTGGTCTTAACATATGTAAAATTTGTATTGTTGAGAATGCAATTGCTTGGATAAGTTTGCTTTAAATAAATAAAAACAAATACTTGGCCAGAAGTGTCACATTAAGCGTGTGTTTTTTCTTTCTGTTAATACATGTATGCCTAACCTAAGTGTCTCGATGAATTACCCACATATTCATGTCACTCAATTCCCACATGCATTTCAAACATTTATGAGGACCCACATGCTATGAATTCTGAAGTGAGTTGTCAATCATGTGGCTCAGGATAAGTTGCTACTTTCAGCATGTCCCGTTGAGTTACGGTTCAACGGAAGTGCACAGTCATGGTTAGCCTTATTTTAATCACACACACCAAACTTAGTAACATCAAGTTGCATTTGCCTCAAGCTCTTTGTTTTATTGTCTTGGTTCTCATTCACAAAACCAAACTGTGTCTGTTAAAGTAACTATGGCTTGATATAACACATGACTATATGGGAACTACACGCAGCTACAACCACTACCATACACTTATGGGCAAAACCAAGCTGGCAGGTGGGCAAGTCAGACATGATCTTTAGAACGACGGCTACTGTGGGCTTGCTAAGTGAATTCCAACTACATTAAATACAAGCACTTGTCTCTCTCACTTAAAGTTGCTACATTGAAGACGTATAGTCCAAATCTTGAGGCTGTAGGCATTTGAGTCTCGTAAACTGTGTACAATAAGATTTTGTACAACAGTTTGTGTTAAATCTGTGAATAAGAAAGTGCGAGTAAGTAAAGGAGTCAGCTCTCCCCTAACCCAAACGTCCAGGCTGGATGCTGTGTTTATTTGTATTTTTTCCTGAAAACCCAGATTTGCTTCTGCAAATCAAATTGCTTCTGTAAATAATGTATTTACAAATGCACACAGTTGCTCTGTGTGGGGTTAAAATCGGTTAAACTTGATCTTGCGCTTGATTGTGACTCCTGGTGGTAGTCCGCCAGCATCTTTGGGAGGTTTGTGATCAGGTAATAAGCCTGTAACGAGGACAAATATCAAGAACCAAAATAATTCTTACAGTCAAGCACTTAAATTTGTCCTGAAACTGGGAGATCCATTAAAAGTGGAATGTAAAAATCTAAAAATTACTGCAAGATTTTCTAGAGAATATTTGCAGCTTACACTGCATTTTTCACCCTTTGGAAAAAAGCAAGTCCAAGTAACAAAAATACTATGATTGTCTTTTCCAATGTTCCTGACTAGAACAGGCTGTTCCAATAAAGAACCCATTGTGCTCTCAAGTTCTCATTAAAGACACCTTCACTTCATTTTTGAAATGAAAAGTTATCAGATTTTGTTGTGGTTCCCAAAGCAAGAGGAATGCTCTGTCAATGGTGGGGGAGGGGCAGGGCATTTGTGAGATAATCAGGCATCAACCATTATATAAAAGGATTTGGCAAAAATGGGACATTAAAACCCCCCTCTATCCTGCCGCCAGTGCACTCAGTCCAAAACAAAGCAAGTAGAGATGGGATGCATATGCAGTACACTGCTTTGGCTAACTTTTGTAAAAATTGGAGACACAACCTTTTATATTAACAGATTAAAAAAAATATTAATAAAACATGTATTGGGGAGATACAGTTTTAGCTCCTGCAGTGTTAATGACTTATCCACTATTAATGCACCTTGGTAAGTTTTTTTGGGGGGTGTGGGGGCGGGCACTCATCAGCCCACCTGACAACCATTAACCATGGAAAGGGGTCAATTCCATTTTCCAAGCCAATTTTTGCATTCCCTTTCCCTCATTGGTTTGATTCTTCCACTTTTTCCTCGCCCGTTTTCTGCTTTTCAATTTTCTTTCTGGAAGGGGGGGGGGCTTGTCTAAAACTAAAAGCAGTTTTTTTAACTCGTTGATTACACAACCAACGGTTTGGCATGGACTTTCTAAGAATTAAATAGAACTAAGTAGTGTTAGTCTGTACGTATACCTGCTCTGTGGGCCCTCTTTACGCATTCCTCCAGATGCCTCTGTTGCTTCTTACACACCCCGGTAATTCTCCTCGGCAACATTCCTCCGTCTGGCCGGATGAACTGGCTCAAGATCAGAACATCCTGCAGAGGAAACATGCATAGAATCTCAGTAGATACCATCGGTGGATACAATGATAACATGGTCAGAGCACTAATCTCCACCCTACATTTCAAATTAACATGCTTACATGCAAAGTTTTGCTGGAGTGAGAGTTCAGAATAGCTTTACTGGCCACCTTGATTATGAATTAAGGATTAGAAAGCCATGTTTAGTTCCATGAGCATTTTCATAGTGAAACTTTCACACACTGTTCAGCCCTTAGTTGAGTCACACCTCAAAGATGTAGGTGTAGGCAACTAAAGTCTTTGATATAGTGTAATTCAACCACCAGAATTAGAAGCCATTACTGGGTGGCACAACGCTCGTCGACAGGTGGTACGGGCGCGTTGCATGCCTCTTCGACCAACAGGGTGTCGTGATATGCCAAATACATAGGCGCGTCAAGCTGAAGAATGTGCGTGTGAGTGCAGTGCAACCGCAGTTGTGGTGTCTAATCGGATTTGTCTATAGACCTTTTTCCAGTGATGTCACGATCATGCTGGACCTCTGATGTGTTGTGATGGTAATGAGTGCATAGTGTTGTGATGGTAATCTACTTATTCAAGATAAACTAGTCAAGCATGCAACATTCGCATGTGCCCTTCCACGTGGTTGAAGCTGCCTGTAGGAATATATGCGATCACCGTGGCCAAGGCGGTCCACACATGGTGGTATTGTTTACATTTAGTCACATGGGTAAAAAAGGTCCATACAGAGTACTGTCGATATCAAACACAACAAATGATACTCAGGAAATACTGTAAAACAGACACTTGCCATTTATACCAAAAAACAGTGCTGAAATTTGAACAAATGTTAAGGTGCACAATGAAATAGATATTGTTTCCTCTGTGTGAGGTTTTAGCATGAATACATTTAGTCAAAATTTGAAACTTTGGGTGCCCTTTAAACTATTAGGATTGAACAGATATGGAATTTTTTTTGCTCTGACATGAAAATGTCACATCCATTCATACAACACGTCTTCCAAACCACAAAACTTTTTGATGACTCGCAGGACTCTGTATGCACACATATACATGTAGAATTCTGATTGAGTTGACTGCTGAGTATTGGGAAAGAGTTCCATATTCAGAGATCACTTGCCACCCTGTGCACAAAGCCTGTCAGGCGGGTCTGAAAAATTCTAAGTGTTTTGTATATGCAAAGCATCAATATTTTCCCTGCTAAATTTAACTTTTTAGGACTATTGTCACTTATCTGACGGTTTATAAACCAATGCAAGGGAAAATTTGTGATTTCCGCATATGGAACTCTTGCCGAATGTTGTTGGCACAGTGTTCTGGAGATCATGGTTTGCAGCTGCACTCTTGTCAACTTTTTCCTCATCCAAACATTGAAGGTTGATTATCTTGTCAATTAAAATTTAGTTCATTATTATGTCAGTTGCATAAAGTTGAGTGGAAAGCAAGAAATATCCACATTTCACAAAAAAAAGAGCTACACGTATGTAGCGCATCCCCTCCTGCTTTGGCTATGAATGCTGAGAACTTTAAGTCAATACATGAATGAGGAACAAGACCTTGTGTACGACAATACTGATCCTTACCTTGTAGGTTACTCTGAGGTTTCTACTGCAGATTGGGCAGGCCCTGTGAGGGTTGTCAATATCGTAGTAGTTTTCTGGAGGATCTCTGTACACACCCTCAATCTATATAAGACACACAAACATGACAAATACAGAAAGACTAACACAGAGGAAAAATTAAATGTCTCCCTCTTAGACTTCCTTGTTGGGATTAATTCACCTGACAGGTTGAGTGGCAGTATTCATTGATGCTCACCTGGGGAGTGTCAATAGAGGAATTTCACATTAGCGCCGTCTGTGCATATTTGCATCGAAACCGAGGCTCTCTGTGTTGAACTTCATCGCGCGCACGGAGTCGACACAGTACATGGAGTATCCGGTTCGTAAATGTGACACCACTTCAGTTTTAACCATGCCCACTGCACAAGATACACGACCATCAGAGGTACGTTAGTTCGCAGTAAATTTTCGTTATTTTTTCTTTTGTCGAGTCATCCTGAAAGACTCTTCCACAAAAATTTGCAGGCTTAAAAGTCTGAATGTAACATACCTTTATGTATTTTGTGTCTTGACTCCTTACTTTCAATCGTCTGATCATATTAAGAATTGAAGCTGACACATACAGCCTCGTTTTCAAACACCGAAATGCGTAGATCGACACTAAAAGCGTCGTATTGGGATCCTCTATTGGGACTCTGCCTAGCCGTAAGCCATTTTCAATTGGTAGTGATCTGGGATTAATTGGCAGGAAAAAAAAAATTTCACGTTTCACAGAAAACAGCAAAAGGGTGGGACCCTTCCACTAGTCTAATGGTGGCATGTGATAGGCTTTTTATGAGTGTGGGCACTGGACTATACATTACTTATAACTTATATATACTTGCAACTTATAAAATTGGGAATAACATTACATGGACAAATTGAATTTTTTGTTGACCAGCATGATCAGTGAAATTACAAGGAAAGGTATCATGCTCAATTCCTGCAAACTGGGAAGGTGAGAAATACAGACTTGAAGTTTTGACAGGAAAGTCTCCAGTAATCTCAAAGAGGGTAATTGAATAAAACTTGTGAGAACTGGGCTGTTACTTATTTTTAAAGATTTTTAAACATACATGTATTTTATCCCTTAGTTGGGATGACTAAATTGCAAATTCGAACATCACTGCATTCCATTAATTCTGCTCTTTTTTTCACTTACTGTATTTTATTTTTCTTTTATTTTATTTCAAATGAAATATCCTAATACTTATAGCTGCCCGTGTCCTCTTTCTGATAAAGTGTTTATTGGCATGCCAAACTTCGTCAACTACATGTAAATCGAGCATGTCCCAAGTATGTGTGGGCTGTGGACAAATGTGGGCCAGTTGATAAAGTTAGGGTGCAACAAATATCATTGCACTCTAACTTCCAGCTATGTGTATGTCATCCCAAATCCATCAAAATGTTGTAAAGCTGTTAAACGTCTGAGGATTATGGGTAGTCAGCAGGTTAAAAGGAATGGTAATTAGATGATATTAACCAGAATTACTTACTATTGTTGAATTACCCTCTGTCGTTTCTATCACTGTGAGAAATGGCAAACAAGAACGCAACGAGAGTTATTAAGATTAATATCAAGGAATGGTTGAATATCATTTGATTTCCCCTTTCAGGTTCTGACCAAAATGGACCTAGCAGATGACAAAATTTATAGAGGTACATGTACATGTATTCAATGCCTTAGAAATCCAACTGTCGGCAGAAAATGTGCAAGCACGAAAAAAAATTGACGGGTTACACTGCCTTGCATGCCAGTCACTGCCAGCAGATATGTCTGTTTTTCCCTATTTATTTTGTACCCACACAGTCTGAGAAATCTGTCTAGACTGAGTGTGTTGAACATGCTGTACACAGCCTGTTGCTGTGGCAGATATTTGCTCTGTGAAAGTGTCCCAGAGTGCTGCAAAATATAATGCTGGGTAAGAAATACTGCAACATTTTGTTCAAAATGACTCTGAAGAGTTATTATTTGTGGCATTTGGCTGCACAGCACAGTGTATGTTGGCTCCTGTAATCTTGCCCGCTCAAAAGTCACAATTCTCTGCCAAAATGATACTGTCTGCAAGTTGACATCATGGATAATAATATCCAATGTTATAAGATGCCTCCGTCAGAACTTGGAACGTCTCCAAGTCACACGGACTATCACACAGTTAGGGACACATGGTACGCACCGACCACCATGATTTAGTGGACCTGACCTGGTGGTGTACTGTACATGTAATAATAATAATAGTAGGATTTATATAGCACCATTCCATCTAGATCATGGCGCTGCACAACACTTGATATCTAATGAAATTATACTGGAAAAAGATGACTTTTTATGTGTTTCCTGAATAAGACCAGGTCGGGATTCATTGAGGTGTACGAGGTTGTGAAGCTATTGAGGAACTGTGCAATGAAGACAGTTGAAGACGAGAAGAGCCATCTTGAATAAGATTCTATTCCGGACGGGAAGCCAGTGAAGTTGGGTAAGTAATTTGGAAACTGATGTATGCCAATCTGCTGTGAATATAATGTGTGCACCCTGGTTTTGTAGCCACTGAAGCCTATCATTTATCAAGCTCTGACTTAGTGATGCCATATATATAGTAATGAGTTACCATAATCCAATCAAAGGCTTGATAACAAAAACATTTTAAAATGGAGTAAAATTTCAAAATTCTGTACAGAAAATGCATATTCATTTTCAAGAGTTAGCCGAGATATTTATGTAGCCACATACGTATGAAGCCAAACCACGATGGTTGTGTTTGTATTGCACATGCCTAGTGTGTATTAGACTTGGGTTGCAGTCGTTCATCGTTATATCAACAGTAAAAACACCATTAATTTGTGTGAATTGCGGTAGTCAAGCGGTTACGGCATAATTAATGGTTTGTGATGCATGGGGTGTGAGTTCGAATCCCGGGTCGAAATTGTGGGCAGGGAGGCTTTTTTTTTTAAAGGAAAATAAAGCCCGAATGTTATAGGAGCCTAATTTCACACGTGAAGTTTTTATGGTTGAGCATCTAGATGTCATGCCTTGTGCATGGTTGTGAACCGTGGTTTGGCTTCATACGTGTGATTGCATATATAATATAGCTCAGTTAGCCAGTGATTTCTTAAAGTGCGCCCTCTGCAGGTGAATAATGTCAGTACACGTACGTATCATCACGTTGGTATACAGCGTACGGTACGGTATGTTACCGTCAGTAACCGAGTCCTGCGGTCATCGTGTTCTCCGTTCTTACCTTCCCTGTACTTTATTTTGGCAGCAGAATCTGTCGAACATTGCACAGCACAGGACACCAGCACTCCCCGTTTATGTCTAATGCTGTAGGTATTGCAGATAGGTGTAATTTTACGAATTAAAATCGGCCTCAACACACGAAGCAGGGAAATTGCGCGAATCTCCATCTTCGGAATTTTCGTGTGTCTCAATGGGGCATGTCCCCTGACTGTATTTCATAGCAGTGTACTATCAACAAAGGGTGTCGAACAACGGTACCAGCCTATTCTGGTATGAAGTCAACTGACATGAGCTGAATGATATTACAAGTACTTGGGTGTGTGATCAGTGTGCGAGTGGGGGTGAATTTGAAAGTTGTGAATCATCATTGAATTTCAAGTTCTGTTTGGTCCAGTCGTGCCAGTTCAAACTTCTGCATATATACATGCTTTTTGCACCAGTCTCGGCAAAAACTACCCCATAACTGTGGAGTCCAACCGTCCACCCCGCTTGAGCGGGGCGGACGTGGAACCCCACAGTTCTGGGGGGGTAGGCAAAAACATGATAAAAATTAATCATGAACACAAATTAACCTTGCTAGTTTCAAGCCTTAAACTAAGTTTTATTACATTTACACATGGGCAATTCCACACCAAAGTGGACTTGACTTAAAAAAAAATTTATAAAAGTGACTGAAACAAAACAAGTGTCAATTGAAAGCTAAAACTAAGTCTGTATTTTCAAGATTTAGACACGACATTTTAATTTTGATCCATTCTGTTGAAGAAAATTTGATTAATTAGGGCCACATTAATAATCCTGTTTTTATCCAAAAAAGTGAAAAATAGATCCACAAAAATTTTGATCATTCTGCACGTACCTAAAAAAATACGTTTTATGTTCGAATGACAATGTTTTCATTTTTTTGAAAGGACAGGTCATTTAAAACTGATGAAACATTTCTCCACAGTTTGCATCATTTGTTTTGCTTCAGTGACTTCTCATAATATTTTAGACTATGAAAATGTCCTTCCGTTACTGAAAAAGTACATTTTTAATATCTCTTTAAAAGTTGCAGTGTGAATGTCATGAAAGCTAGTTATGAAAGCAAGTTTAAGTAGGCCTACAATATGGCACTGTTACTGACACAGTTGTCCTTTTTGTGATCAGTGCTTCACTTGGCTTTCACTTAAACAGTACAGGTCCATTTATTGAGCAGTTCTACCAGTGTTACATTAAATTAATATCTAACAACTTTCAAGTTGTACTATACTGTTGCGTACTTAAAACAGCACAAGTGTTGAGATACATGTATCTCTTCAAGCCTGTGTAGTGCTACACCGTGCTGTACATGAGCATGTCGATAACCTACCCTGTCTTGTGAGTATAATTGTCAATTCTTTTCTTAGATTTCTCATTGTCATTGTAACACTATACGTGTAATTGGAAGACTGATAAATTATATTTAATTTTAGAATTTTTAAATGTTCCGATTTTGATTTTGGCATAAAAGTAAATGTGCAGGTATTCCTGTTTTAATGATCAATTTTAATCAGTTTTCTGTTCATAAGTATTAGTTTAAGATGACAAAATTCATGATTTAAGTTGATAGGCACATTAAAAGTTACATACATGTACTCTACACGTACATGTACATGTTAATACAGTGGTGAGTGTTGTAGTGTAGCAGATATTACAGAGGAATCTACCGAGAAGGAAGATTGTGAAATTTGAAAGTTATCTGATGTTTTCATTTTATGAACAGGATGGCTCAAACACAAGCTGAAATGCAATGGAAGTACATATGCAGAAAGTGACAGACAGCGAAGGGTCTACATGATGGACACAGATCAAAAGAAATTGTACATTTACTTGTTGTTTGTTGCGTTCCGCGCTTTGGGTTCGAAAGCTTTGTATTCATGAATGTTGATGTAATCCTGAGTAAAAGTGGCAAGTAATTACATGTACAGTATATTTAAATTACTGAAAAATATTGAACACAGTGCTATATTAGGCTTTGATTTCACATTGCCTTGCACTTCAAAATGTTCTTTTTGTATCATTAGTATAACATCACATCCATCATCATCAAATCCATGGTTACAATGGGAGGGGGTGCTGAGAGCCCACCCCCCTGGGTTGGGAGAAATTCTGGTTCACTCCCCCTCCCACAAATTCCAGCTCGACATTGTATATGAGATATAGATAATTGAAATTGTATGTTATTTCTCAATTTACATCTCGTAACTGCATAAGCTTTCTAAAGATGCTTAAAACCTAGTCACAAGTATTTAACCCGTTATACTTATCAAATGTACATACTTTGTTGTACATAACTTCCATTCTAGTCGCCTTATGGAGGTGGGAGACCTATTATTTGAATGCAAATTAAAAGTCTTCCGAGAAGATATTATAATAAAAATAATTGGGACATCATGAAATTTCCATGAATCTAGCTGTATTAGTCCACTCTGCCAATCGAGTGTGTCGAGTGGTCCATTATAACAAGGTACTGGTAGATGCTACAAATGACCTAATCCCAAAGACCGTGCATTTCATATGTGATGCGTGCTTGGTGAGCTTTGTCATTTTGGTGCATTTTGATCTGGATACTGTCCTCTTTTCAAAACCATGGATTCCCGATTCTAGACAACCTGGATTCAAGTTGTAGACAACCTAGAATCCTACATTTAATATATCTGAAAACAAAAGGGTGCCAATATTGATTTGAAGTTTATACGCACCCAAACGACAAAGCTCACCATGTGAAGGCTGTTGCAGATCACATCACATCTGTGCACACTGTAGTGTCCTACTCCTACAATGCATATGGGTCATTCTATAAATTCAGGGTCCAAAAGTGTGACATTTTTGTGTCCTTCTACACCTGGCCTGTCTCATTTGACGTGGAAATACCACTGACGTTGATTTTAAACTATTTCTCTCTGTTTGACAGGTACTTTGAATCAATTTATCTCTCTTGGAAATTAGAAAAAACGTTCTGAACTTACAAAATCATGTCAGGTGTAACAGGGACACAAAAGAAATCATATCCCTAATTTATAGAATGACCCATATGTACTGCTTGTCCATGTTCTAGACGTGCTGATTTTAAATATTTAAAATACTCAAACCATGCTCAGATTAACTTGAGTATTGTAGTTTTACATTTTTTATTCTGTTAAATATGTAAACGTAATGTAGCCCGTTGAGGCAACATATGTCAATATGCCAAATGAAAGATACCTGTATTTTCTTTCTTGAAAAACCTGAATTTGACCTACGTGTAAGCTTGACCCATTTTCATCCTAACAACGTTCCAGGGCAGCTTATGGCATACCGTGTAAACAAGCATGATCGCAGTATGTTCTAGATCTTGGGGTTTGGTGTGATTCTATGCTGGTTTTTATCCAGACATTAATTCTATGTGGCCTTTTGAATTTTCATTAAATCTGACATTATTATAGTATTTGGAGGCATGTATCAATGGTTTTTGTAAAGAGCTTTGAAATTGTTACAAAAAGGAAACTTTCATCGGACCTTTTATTTGAAATACACTTACTGTAAGTGCAACTGAAGCATTGGGCTCTCCAAACAAGAAGTGTAAATTATTAACCCTCCTTCTGCTGGAACCGTCAAAAACAGTAAAAAATTCCTTCCGCTTGATGCCCTCAGCACACAGACACATACTGTACATGGGAAATCGGACTGGGTTTGACTGATAGGACATTATTGGATATGTTAGGCTTTAGTTTGCGTTTGTTGAAACTGCTTTATACTTTACCTGCCAAGAAAGTGACGTAGCAATAATTGTACACAAGTACGTGCAGCTAGACAAAATGCATTTTAGTTACAAGAAGCAATGGAACAGTGTCGATTTCTGATTTGATAACATTGCAGAATGTACGTTCATCAGAAAATGTACACGTATGTAGTTTGCAAGATGGCATCTCTGAAGTACAAGTTTCTTACATAATGAAGTTAAATAGGGAGGAAACAGGTCAAGTCAAAATTGTCCCTTCAACAACTTCGGAGATAGTGACACCATTTTGGGAAACTTGTGTATAACAAATCATTTCTGTCCACTTTCATGAAAATATGGCAAACAAATTTCTCATGTAAAAAGTAACTATCTTTGATGTGTTACAAGAGGGTTCCCTTTCATTTCTTGACGTCAGCAATCCTGGTGGTTGAATGAATGGTGATCAAAATACATTTTGGTAACTTTGTTGGGCGTAGGCAAATGCTTTTGTTATAATCCAATGCACTTCCAATTACCCCAGAAGCTGAGGTTATGCATCTTTCCATTGCAGTCACTAATGTTGCAGTCAGTGGTGTTGCCCAAGATATGGGCCTCCAGGTTTCACAATTCAACCTGCCACTTCATTCAATTCCAAAGCTATGAATGATTGAAACAATTCCTTCAGTTTGATTTTAAATTACCGTACTTTTAGTTTGATATCTTATGATGCCGTAGTGACATCATAAAAGATATCTGAGCATCAAGATTTATGGTAGCTAGCAACATACACTTGAACTTTGACCCTTCATTAACCCAGGAAGGGAATGTGAGATGAATTCATAACCCGAGACAAAATTGTTGTCCAATAACAGATTTGTCAGATACCCGAATACAAAGTAGATACCTGTGTCAGTTTGTGAGATCTAGCTTATACAGTAGAAGTTGATCGTTAAAAAAAACTGTGGAGGCTTTTTTTTTAAAACCTGATGTCATCTGGATATAACATCAAGGGATCAGGGTTTATATTTGTGCAAAGTTTCAAATTTATGTGGTGTACTTTTTTAGGGAAAAGCCGTAGAGAATTATCCTGAGAAAATGAAGTAGCAAGATGTCTGACTACAAACCCAATAGGAGACTAGGCAATGGACAAATCATCTAATAGCTTCCATGAATGACTGAAGTGTGTTTCATCTTTGTGAGAATTTTTGAGATGCAGCATAATTTGGCTTAAAAATGGCTTCATTTAAATCCTGAAATGAAGGACTTGTCACAGTGCCACATTTTCCTTCTTAGAAAAATAAATTGCAATTTGCAACTCCACAAAGTTGTCTCATGTTAAGAAGACTCTTTGCCGCTACACCGACACAACAAAGCAAGAGCTGAGGGGTCTGTGTTGGACCAGCATCAATTGTAACACATCTGGGATGTGTACGACCAGAACTCTACTTCATGATCAGTGATGATATTTGACGGCGAAAAAATTACTCTGAAATAGACACTGGAAGTTAATGTGTGATGTAATGTTTACGTGATGTTTGCATTTGCAGGAGCTGTTCCACCTTTATGGTTCAGGATACTTCAGCACATTTGCACACTTGGCCCATGAATTGAATTGGCTCTTCTACAATGCAACAGCCACAGTGCTCCTGTGGGCTTCAGTGGAATACCTGTGACTCGTAGGTGGCTAGCCAGACTGAAATGTCAGAGCCAACGTCATGGCATTAATGCAGGTACGACCCAACTACAAACTCATCAGTGTCTTGGTGGTTGTTGCGTTGACACTGTTTCTTGTCTTCACCTCTATGTACAACGGAGGCACAACGGGAAGGGCTTCCCTACCCGGACACAAGGCACTCCTCAGCAGCACACGCGGTTGGCAGGCTGGCAGTCTTCCGATGCTTAGCAGTGACGACGTCGCCTGGAGCGAACTGTTCCAGGAATCGCTAGTAAAGAATGACTTTTACGGGGTGATGTTCGATGCAGGCAGTACTGGCTCGAGAGTACACATTTTTCACTTTCAAAATGATTTTAACGGTAAGTTGTCTCCTCATAGCAAGCAACTCTCTTTGAGTAAAGGAGCCAACACATGCTACTGCATTTTGTTTGTTTCACTTTATGAGGATGCCATCTTTGTATGTAAAACGTCGTCATCAAGTGTGCTCAACACGTTTTAAATTGAAGTTGCACAAGACTAACATAATGCCATGGGCTGCTTGTCAAAGCATGCCCTGACAAATTAAGGTACATTTTTATAGGCGGTCCTTCCAGAGAACAGCAGTGTATGTCTTGGAAACCGAAACATTGTATGCCACAAGTACCTTCAAGTTTAAGCTAGTGCTTTACACGGATGCATCTTTGTGCTGAAGTAGTTTGTGGATTTGAATGTATACATCTTCACAGGGGGTCCGCCAGTACTAATTGCAGAGGTGTTCAATAAGACAGAGCACGGCCTGGGTGAATTTGCTGACAGTCCACAAAAGGTGAGGCAGCCTAAACATTGATTTCCTCTTTCCTCGGAAGTTGTATACAAAGCATTGCTGCAGTACATGTTTGGTACTTGTGTGACTTGTGTGTAATGCACCCTTTGGTAGCAAAACTTAATCTGATATTTTAGGTTGAACATCAGTTTTTGACCCTGTGTTGCTCTGTCCTTGCGGAAATTCTCAACACTGCTTTTGACTCCGGCAATAAACATGGCTCATTAGTGAGGTTGTCTGAGCCACAGTAATGAATCTCTTAGGCTGCAGTATTTGTATAGTCAAGAGATCTTGTTCAGTCAGTGTTCGCTATCTTGTCTGAAATTGCACTAAATACCTCGGGTTTGTGGAAACTTGGGAGTTGAAGATCAGAGGAAGGAAGTGGATCAGAAGCAAACAGAGAGAGGCAGATTAGAAACAAACATGGTGCTCAGGAACAAACATACAGAAACCAGCCGAATCCAGACCTACACTTGATGTCAGTATAAAGCATTTCTATAGCCAAAGGGTAGTGGATAGCATGAATAAATTGCCAGGAAGTGCCATCCAAACACCCACACTTTTCTGCTTCGAGCAGAGTTTAAGTAACGTGGGGTTTTAATGGATGAATGAGGTTCCCATCACCCTGCCACTTCTCCTCTGTACATGATACGAAGATGGAGGAGTGGCCTTCAATAAATAAGCAACCCTCAGTGTCGTAGTCCAGTATTTTTCCATGAGTATAAGTTCAAAGTGCTTTGGTAAGAGTACAAGGACGGGGAAATGTTTCTTGAGAGTTGGAGTACAAGTACATTTTCATGAGTATGAGTACAGCAAAAAGTACTCAAGTATTAGTATTCATGAGTACTACAACATTGTCATGATGTACCAGCAAGAAGAGTGACTTTGATTGTACCACAGAGGCCAATAGAATTAGCAATGTGCACTTTGTTTTGGCTAATGGGCACACCTGGGAAGTTTGGTTTTTCTCTACAGGAAGTTTGGTTTTTACTCTACAGGGCTAACAGGTTATGATGATCTCATAGTTTACACCATAAAATGCACTGCTGTAGCATTTAATGTTAACTGCGGAACTAATTCAAGTGGGTGCTGAACACGCCTTCATTGAAGGCCCTGACTAGGAGCCCGAGTATGAGTCCTTTTCAAAGAGTACGAGTACTTTGGTGAGGGTGTGAGTACGGGGAAATTTGTTCTTTGAGAGCGCGAGTAAGACTACATCTTCATGAGTACAGAAATACCGGTAGCACTGGAATACGAGTATTACAACACTGTTCAGTTGTGAGAAATGAAATCCCACGCAGAATATCTCCTGGTTAACCCTACTGTAGTGTGGAAAGACCGAAGAAGCAAAAGGGACATTTCACTTAAACATGTACATGTACTTGTTCCTATGGGGACAAACATTCATCATTCAGCCCCCTCCCCCAATTTTTCCCCCCTCCTCCAGGGTTTATAGTACAGACAATTGCAGACTCACGTTGTCGAGTCATGGGACTAGACCAGCTTTATTATGATCATAAGCTGACAACAAACAATTTGGTATCCATAGTCTGCTCTCATTGTTCAACATCGATCTCACGAGTGACACACGTTTGAAATTGATGTGCAGACGCTGGGCAGAGACCAAAGACTTGGGGGGGGCTTACATTGATTTTTTTAGGGGGGAGGACCAAAAACAGTGCCGGAACAGAGAAATATCCCACAACTCAGCCTCAATTTGCCTAACAAAATAAATTGTTCCATTAACGTGGTGAAGGCCTGCCTGTGCTTGCTCACACTCTAACTGGCTCTCAATCACTGGCCCTATGGCTTTGATAAATGTTTAATCAGTTTCACCCCATAAAGTTCATTTGCCATTTTCACATGCATGTAGTGCCCAGTTTTCCCATCACTTTGCAGCCATTTGAAGTGAATGCTTATTGCGCATCTGTCATACACACATTTGTCGTGATAGTTTTGGCACTAAACTTCTGTGGTCTACCTGTTTTCATTTGTGGACGCAGGCAGTGGAGAGTGTGCGGGGTCTGCTCAACGTAGCCACAGAATCAATCCCATCAGAGTTCTGGGCATCGACCCCTGTGGCTCTGAAGGCCACAGCCGGACTGAGACTTCTGCCCTTAGACAAAGCCCAGTCCCTACTGGATGCTGTGAGTACACGTAGACCAACTTATAAAGTTGTTGGTTCAGGCATGGTGGGGAAAGTGTGTTTCATCGTGTGCCCGGTAAAATGGGAAGCATGATATCAGCAGAAAAATTGTTCCCGGCAAAATGGCGTAAGGAACACACTTTCTTTATTTAGTAAAAATGGACAAAATTTACTCAAAAATCAACACAGGCTGTACAGACAGCAACCTTTGAACAACTTATTGAACAACTTGAAATTTTTTTTTACTTTTTGCAGAGAAAAGAATAAAACTGTTGCAAACATACTTGTATGTCCTTTTTGCCGGGAAACGTTTTTTGGTAGTGATCATACTTCCCGACAAAAGGGTGTAAGCGCTCAAGTCCTTCTTCCAGGCACATGACAGTTTGATAATCATGCTTTTTTCATCTTTTCCTTTTAACATTTAAGAGGAGTAGAAAGTTGTGAAAATTACAAAGGGTCCAAATGTTTGTGTCCACTGCCCTGTGGAGTTATAAAACTAGCAATGGCTACCCTCAGTAAAATGAACTACGCCAGTGTGTAAAACCCTTTCATGTAATTTCTTGTGGTTTTTTTTTTCTCATGAGCATTGAATCTGACAAGACTCTTTTTATACTTTCACAGGTGTATCAGTTATTTGTACAGTCGCCATTTCTAGTTGACACCCAAAATAATACTGTCACTATTATCGATGGGATCCACGAAGGAGAATACATTTGGTTCACCGTCAATTTTCTGAGAGGTTGGTCCGTGTATTTTTTCCCTCTTCAAAGCAGCAACGACATCTCAGGAATGGCAGCACATGTTTTCCATGCACAAGTTAGAATTTAGAAGAAAAGCTCGTTATAAATCTGCACACCAGTAGCAGACAGTCAGAATGTTGAAGCTGGGATGTCACTGCCTAAATTGGTATGGTGAGGTAGGGGGTACTGCTTCTGCTGGGTAGGATTGGTTTCCCAGATCTCTCAAAATCCACTTAGAGGCAGTTGAAGATTTTGTAGGATTGAGAAAGGTAGTGTCCAACTGCTGCATTGATAACTTTATTGGGTATGTGTATCAGAATTTAAGAATATATAATGTGTTATTCCGATCTTGGAAAATGAAGGTTTGTTTAAGGATCCTGACTGTTCCTCGCATAAACACCAAGGGAGTCGTTACAGTTAGTGAAAATTTTAAGATAGAGTAACGTATTTGCTGACTTGAATTGCAGTTATTTCTTTAATCAGTGTTTGCACAGAATATTCCAAGTTTAACTTTGTCTCTCCGTAGAGCAAGGGTTGCTCTTATCTCTGAAGTGAACATCGTGATAATGTATGTAGTAGGCTCTCCCAGGAGATCCAAGCTTTATTGTTCTGTTAGCATCATACAAGCTTTTGAAAATATTTTTCTGCCCTTGCTCTCAACTCTTACTTTTGGATGGGGCTTTTTGCCTCACAAGCTTACACACTTGTCCCGTGGTCACCGTCATATGTCAGTGTTTTTGATCCTCAGGGATTCTTGGGACACAAGATCATTCTTCTAACACCATGGGAGTGCTGGACCTGGGGGGAGGGTCAACTCAAATCACGTTTGCGCCCAGACACCAGGAGACCATTGATGAGGGAATGCCGCTGGGCTTAATCAAGCAGTTCAAGTTCAGGGAAGAGACCTTCCAGCTGTACACGCACAGGTAGGATGGAACTGCTGTTGGCTGATTTGCCCAATAATCCTCCCGTATTTTTCACCATCCATCAGCAGGTGGATGTTGAAGGATATGGGACCTAGTGTTGGCTCCCTGTCAGCTCTGCATGGTTGCCCTGTAAAAGATTGAAAGGATACCAATTGTGCCATCGGGCATTCTCCACAGTGGGTTTTTTGTTTTGGGTGTTTTTTAAAGCTTCAAATATGCACAGAGAATGTCAGAAAGGCTATGTTTTGCAGTGCATTGAGGGAGATGGTTGATAACTGTACTCACCAAGCTGCGCACAGGGAACTTGAATTATTCCCAATGTTTGTTTGTCAGGGAAGAAGGTTTGTAAGTATATTTCAACTAGCAGTTGTAATAAATTGTTCTTCTTTCTGTTGTATGGAATGTTGTAATTAATCGAAGATATCCCCAAGACTGGCCACATTGTTTACTGACGAATGCAAATTACCAGAAGTTGGCCGTGATCTGGATCTTGATCAGTGATCCTAACGTTGGTTCGCACCATCCATTAGGGGAGTTTTGGTGTCCGTAAACCAATGACGCATCACTGATTGTCATCCAGATCCTTGTGCAACTAACTCGGCCTTGGCTGTTAAGGGGATCCTGTGGGATCCCTGTCAAATTGATTGGCCCATAAGTCTGTTTAGAATGAAGCAGTGGGCATCTGGAATGTTGTCAGTACTGAGTTACTTTGTCCACAGTGTGATGAGAAATGTCCTTGTTGCAAAGTCCTTAGTACTGTAGATTTGAATTTTTTTTAAAATCCACTGTGGACCTACCTAGGAGTGTACAAATATAGCATGGTTTGAGGTTGGACAGTTGATGTTAGTCCTCTGAGGTATTTGGAGTTGACAAACTAGTTCCAGCGAGGCGAAGCTGAGGGAACTAGTTTGTCAACTCCCAATACCGAGGGGAGCTAACATGGACTGTCCAACTGAAATAAACCATATCAGATTTGTTTACTGTACCTCATTCATATTTTATTTTGATAACCTCTGAAAATAAAAACATCATCATGAAAGAAAAGTCCAATCCTTTTGAGACACAGTAATTTTTGAGTGTTTCCACTGCATTTTGGACAACCTTCTTAGTGGTGGAGACATCGCTCTGCTGAAGAAAAACGCTGATTGTCTTTTACGTGTGCCGCCATCTTTTCATGAGCTGCAAACTGCTATTAGGCTGGTGCCGCCACGAGTGCATAGTTTACCCCAGGCGACAGTTCCCGGATTTTCTGCTACGGCGCCTGCTTTTTTAACAGTCACACGGGTAAGCCGGGTGACAGTTAAAAATGCATGCGTATTTACTCCTTGCGTGAACGATCGCGTGTGGGCTTGACAAACAGCAAAAATAATGACTGGAGCGTGACCGTGAATGCACCAATGAGAGTTCGGCGATCCATCATGAATATGTATGAGGTATAGTAGTACCTTTCGTTGTCTTATTTTCCCTGAAGTTAGATTCCCTGCCCAACTCCAACCCAGCGATCCTGTTACCATGTCATTTTTTCCCCCGTAGTTATCTTGGCCTTGGCCTGAAGGAAGCTCGACTCGAGACCTTAAGGCTTGAACAACAGATGATGGCTTCAGTACCTTCAAGTACCCAGGCCCACAGAGATTCAGGTAACTCTCAGTGTCCTCCTATTGATTTCCCTGTGATCTGTGCTGCTGTAGAGTAGCACATGAGTGAATAATTTGCTGAGAGGATGTTTTCATGCAGCTGTGTAAAAGTACCTGTGATTTCTTTTTTCTGTGACACAGTACTTATAAACAGAATCTTGACCAGTTTTCTGAATACCAGCTGGCAAAGTTCTGCCATTCCATGGGGCTTGGTGAATGATCATGGAATGTGTGGCCAGATATGTCTGAATTAAGTAGCAGCATTGCATTGTACATGCACTTGACACTATATGATTAATGAATGTTTAACCACTTGCTGCGGGGTGTTTTTAAAAATGCAGTGCACACATACGGGAGATTTTCAAGATTTTCAGTTTTCAAAATTCTTCAAAAATTCATCATTTCATTTAATGGTTGTTTACACCCACACGAATGACTGTTTGTTGCTACTGTAAGCTGACAGGCAACCTTTGTTGACTCCTGAGTATATCAGCCAGGCCTGCCACCCTGTAAAGAGAGCCCAGAATTGTGAGATGTTGCGTAATATCCTTTGTCCCCAGTGAATGTAAGGTGCATCTTTTCAACGTGGCTGGATTAGCATGCAGCGGTGCTGTGTCGCTCATTAATGGGGCCCTGGAGCTATGCCCCAAAACAGTGGTATACCCCTATCCCTCCTCAATCCTCCAAAATCCTTCGGGGGTTTTGGAGGATTTTGTAGGATTAACGGTGAATGGCAAAAGTTCATGGTTGATTGTGAAGGATGCCATGCATGACGGTCGTGGGTTAGACCTTGTGTTGTTTTTGCTTAGTCATGCATAAATTCATCCTGATATTTCTTTTGAATCAACCAAACTGCTCAAGAATGCCATTCGCACTGCCTCAACATAACAACAGGAATTACCAGGGGATTTTGAAGGATTGAGGCAGTAGGCACACCTCCAAGTAACATTTTCAAGAAATTTTGGAGGATTTTGGAGGATTGAGGGAGAATCCAATTTTTTCACCCCCAAAATTGGAGGATTTGGGAGTATTTAGGAGGTCCCTAGCAAAACGGACCGAGGAGGTTAGGGATACATGTACTGTTTAAAAACAGTGATGGATTACCTTTGAAAAATGCAGGTCTTTGGTTCCAAGTACTGTCCTTTGTTACACGGACCAGCTCTTTTGTCCCATTTCGGGTACCCCAGCTCTGCGTATAAACCATGGTGCTTGAAAAGGAGTTCCGCGGCAGTAAGTGGTTTAACTTAGCATTGAAGCTGAACTACATGTGAGCCCATTGCTTGTGTAAAAATGTCTTCTCTGGAGGTCCCAGGCTAGTTTGTGTTGGTCTCTTAGTCTCGGCCTTAATCTTGGAAATCTCCACGTGTCAATGGGATTGTGGTTATTGACAGAGGCAGACTTGAAGATTGGCTGGTGTTGAGACTAGGGCCGTTTTCCAATACTCAACTTCGTCTCCTTCTCAGGCTTCGTTCCCAAAACCAAAGTAATCCAATGTAATCTAAACACCAGAAGCGTTTAAATAGCATTTAAATTACATCGAATTACTGTAATTTTTGACTTTCTTGCATATTATTTGATGTTCTATGGCACTGTTAGACTGATTACTACGCTTACAACTTCAAAGTCAGCTAGTTAAAAAACAGTTGAAGCCTGAGACGGAGCCGAAGTTGAGTATTGGAAAACAGCCTAAGACTTTTTGAAAATGAACAATCAGACTTCTTCCATGTTAGCTATTATGACTTGAACTTTCATTTGCGTAAATAAATTCTTGAACAAAGACACAAAGATGTCTTTGACAAAGACACCAAAATGTTTCCAAGAGTGCATAAAACAACAAATTGAGAGATTTTCAAGTAGCTGTCTGGTTTGATCCGTGGAAATTGCAATTAAAGGCACATCAGTTCAAGGAGATGAAGCCCTTGTAATCATTTAAACCCTTCCACTGGCTCATTAATTACTTTCCATGCTAATATTAGCCAAGCTTTTTTGCACAATTTCATAATTGTTGAATATGCTCAACTGTTGACTGGATGTTTTTCATGAGAAAAGGGCATAGCTGTGCTACATGGTAACATGTATCCTATAAACTGTTGTGTACTTGTAATAGGCAGCTGTGCCTTCTTGGAATGATCTGCCTTGATTGTTTATTAAAAGCTCTTGCATTATTATCTAATCAACTTATTATGCATAATTGTGGCTATTTATATAACCGAAAATGGGTCACTTGGGAGACATTCCCATTGGAACGTGCACAAAATTCATTAAACTTTACCGCCCCATGATTCAATATTCCCTAATCCGATTTTAACCAAAGTTTGCCTGTTTTCCTTTCAGACCCTAATCTATCATCTCTCAAAATGTGGACAAAAAATTTTCCTCCTTTTGGTAGTTGGAACATTAGGGAGACATTGCCTAATGATCGATGTCTCCCTAATGTTGAAAAATTTACCACAAAATGTCTCCCAAGTGACCTATTTGTAAATATTGCTGTTGTGTCAACTCACTGTCTTACATAAACTAATAAAAACCAACAAAAATTTCCATTATGATACATGCCCTGTTTTTTGTGAAATTGATGAAGATTGTATGCATACTTAAAAGTTACGCATAGTCAAATTATAGTGATACATGCACTGGGGAAATCACAAATGCTGTATTAAAGGAGAGGAGGCCCATATCAGAGTGACACTTACCTCATACAAACGTGAATGATCAAAAAAAGCAAACTTATCACCATTTTCACAAAGAGACAAAAGTCTTGCCACAAAAAAAAAGACACCAAAAATTTGTGTGACGTTTGTCTCTTCGTGAATGTGAAGACACAGTTTACATTTTTGCCAAAGCTTGTGCAAGGTGCAAAATTGTTACATTTTGTAGAAACAGCAAAACGAGTTTTGCCCACGGTTTTGCCCTTTATTGCTAATGCTGTACCTCTGCAAGACAACTTTGTCTCTTCGTTAAAACAGAAAATGAAGTTTAGTTGAATTTTGCCTTGCGGTGATCATCGTGATTTGGCTGAGTAGATTTGGTAAAGATTAATTACACCAGGTTGTATGCATCACATAGCCTAGTTGATTTTGAAAACAAAAACCAAAAATTAAAAAAAAAATAATCATGATTTTGGGCCATTTTGTCTCTTCGTATATCTCATCTGATTTTAGTGAAATGACCAATGAAAACACTAAGAAAATTTTAGCTTGATTTTAGCATTTGGATAGATAAAAGGAGTTGCTTGATTTCCTGAATGGTTCAAAATCAGTGATCGCGTGCTATCCGTTTCAGTGTTAATTGGTCTCATTTGTCATTTGGAAATGAAACAGACACCAACTGGGCCACCGTCTGCCTGCCGCCAAATGCTGAAGCGTCGTGGGAATTTGCTGGCGTGACTCACGTGACCAAGTCCGCCAATGGCCCAGAGGTGACAGACACTTTCACCCCTTGTGCTGACTTGACCAAAAGGTTCATGGGAGACAAGGTCTACCGGCCAAAGGAGATAGCCAATCGTACCTTTTACTCTTCCTCTTACTTCCTTGGGAAGAGCGTTGAGAGTGGTCTGATAAGTAAGTTGACCTGGGTGAGCAGTTGGGTGGGCAGGGCTTTTTCTCAGTTGGGCGGAGGTGCCTTTTGAAGATCTCTTGTAGAAATTTGAGTGATGACTGTAGTTCAGTCACTGGACAATCACTCTTTACCAGTGTGTAGGCACAGTGCCATTTCACTCGAATGAACCTAGTCTCGGCCTTCCGCAAAGCCCTATCAGAATTCACATTTTGTCAGTCATTCATATTCAGTTTTTGCTATCCCTGCCATTTTGTGCAATTATTCACAGGCTCACTCTTTACAAGATTATTGAAAAAGACTACTGAATTCCAGCTATACAACGGTGCCCTGGGGCCCGGCTCTGAATGATTGATTGGACTAGTCCAAACATCTATCATTTGGGTGACATTGGTCAAATGGTAGTCTTTGCTTGAACTAGCATTGTCTACCAATTGAAGAGTTCAAATCAGTACATAACCCTTGATCAATGGAAATCCATTTTCAACCTTGTGAGAATCAGAAAATCAGCTTTAAAAATGAACAAAGCCAATCCTTAAAATCTTTTAAAAACTTAATCGAAGGAGAATTGAAATTGTTCAGTAAAAATTCATTAATTGAATGGGTTTTCACCATTTTTGTCAAATTGATGTTCAATTCTTTGTACCAAGAGATTCAAGATGTAATTCTCCTCCAGTTAAAAGGACCATTTCCTTGTTCATCTTTGTAATTCAACTTTTGTTTTCTCCCAAATTTTATGCAGCAAGGGAGTTCGGAGGTATTGTTCGCGTGAAAGAATTTACACGGGTAGCAAAAGAAGGTAAATCTTTTTTTTTTCCCAAGTCTAAAGGGTGTACATTTGAGGGCACGTGGCCTTCATGAGGGTTTAGACTCCTGATCAGTGGGTTTGGAGCTCAAATCCAGCAGGTAGGAGCTTGTGACCTTAGGCAAGTCACTGTACCCCTTCTTGCCTCTTTCCTGGTCCACCCAAATGCACAAATTGGGCACCTGTCAGAGCATAGCTCACTCATGTGCCTTCACTGACTGCCAACCGATTTTGCCTGATGCCCAGGGAAATACATGTACATATAATTGTAAATCAGAAAGCACTTTGTTGACAACACTATATCAATACTGCAATTACTACTTGATGCTGTTACCATGGTTGCCATGGCTTCTTTTGCTTTGTACTACTGTTTTGGTATGTGCACCATGAAGTGGAATAAATTGTGAGAAATCATTTGTGGAACGGAGCTGGCTGTAAAACTTACTTGAAACTTACTCTCAGTACATCTCTCTGCTTTAGTCTCATCTTACTGAGTAAGCCTTACTCTAGTCACAAAAGGTGGACAAGTGACCATGGAAATAAGTGATGCATACATGTACATGTACTATCTTGAATGTGCAGTGAACCCATAGCAGTGCAGCAGCAGATGTCACACAAACTTTATGCAATGGCTCAAGTCACTCATGCTACTTTACTACACAAGTTTGACAACAATAGGGACGTATACAGCATAAGAGTATGACTTGCCCAACTAATTATGGGAAACTTGCATGTACATAATCATTTGAAGTGGTATTTAATGCATTTGATAATGGCTGATATTTACTTATTAATCTTGTTTGTTTGTTGTGAGGCTCACCATTTCTCTTCACAGAGTTAATAGGAAAACTGCACTACGTGTACAAGTACTTTGTTTTGTGCTGGAAGTGTGAAGACATTTGTTTGTGAGACAATTTCATGGTGTAATCTTGGTGTAAAGTTATGCTAAGATGTGGAAATTAGTTCCAGATGTCTTCACCTCCATTTGATGGTTGTGTGGGAGATATTTTAGCATGAAAATATGCTGGAAGTGTGAAGACATTTGTTTGTGAGACAATTTCATGGTGTAATCCTTGGTGTAAAGTTATGCTAAGATGTGGAAATTAGTTCCAGATGTCTTCACCTCCATTTGATGGTTGTGTGGGAGATGTTTTAGCATGAAAATGTAAACAGGATATTGTGCTTTGAGTCTCTCCAGAGAAGCCTTTTCTGTTCCAGGCTCCTTGGAAGGACAAGCATGCTCATGTAATTCAATGTAATTTGATGAAACTTTCGTGCACATGCTTCAGCATTGAGAGTACATTCACAGGTGCCACGGAAGCCCTCAGTTATTACAGGTCTTTTCTCCCCAATTTGGCTTTCCTTAGCCTGCAGATCTTTTGATGCAAGTAATCCATTTCTGTGTATGGACCTGGTCTACATACATACGTTACTCAGGCATGGCTATGATTTCAAAGCTGAAACAGAACTAGTGGTAAGTTCCCACCTACAATTTCTACAAACAAGCAATTGTTTCTCAGTGGACTTGACCAGTCAGTTGCCAAGACAGACCTTCAGGGCAGGAACTTCATTATTATTTCTCATTTGGCCATTAGCTAGAGAGCAACCCTTTCTCAGAAAATGTTTTCAATGAGCACATTTTGATTTCACACTTTTAATAAGGATAAAAACATTACAGTCAGCGCGCAGCCCCTCCATTAGTGAGCAATTTTGGCGATTCCATTTGCACATGAAAACGATCTCGTGAGTACATGGGAGTTCGCGAGAAAAAACGAGAATACAGTAGTGTCCCTTCAACCGCCAGGAAATCCGTTGCTTCATTCTTGGGTTGAAATGGCTTGGTGAGTAGACAGTTTGACGTTTTTCACTATCAGTAAAGTTATGTTTCGGCAATGATCGACAATTTCCCAACGATTTATTTGGACATACATGTACACTTGCTTAGTGTTTTTCACGAAAATCACAGGCCTCCTCTTTATTAAGTGCGCCTGACTGTTTTGCAATAACTGGATAAAATTGAGACTTAAAATTCTTCAGGAAAAGGATTAAACATCTGTTTAATACCAACGTTTTTGCTGCTAGGCCAATCAAAATTTTAAAGTTTTATGCACTACTCACTCAGCGATCCCAGCAGTGTTTACATTTTTGCGAGACGAATGGTAAGTCTGGTTCCCTATTAAACGACCAACATTCACTAGGTTTCCTTCACTGCAAAGTCTGGGTTCCCGATTTTGGTCACACGCATTTACGCGCATCTCTAATGTAATATGTCAATCAACCAATCACAGATAGTCTTTCACGAAACACATACGACAGTTTTCTCGGTTAATCTCACGAAGTCTAAACCTGCAATAACGAAATACTTTGGGTGCACTTGACTGTTCCACAACGACTTGAAAAGTAAAAACTTCTTGTTTGGCTGGATATATGACATATCTATCTTTCTGCTGTCAAGAAGATTCTGCCGGCCAAGATTTGCATCCACTAAAATCAGTTTTTTTGTACCCTCATTTTTACACACGAAAGCCTACATTTTACGGCTAATATCCTTCAAAAGAGACTGCAAATATTTGTATTTTTTACAAAGGACATGGAACTGATATCTGAACTGTTCATTTATGTAAAGATATTCCATTCTTAAAGGTAACACTAGGTGGTATACAATTTTGAAAAGTCCACATCATAGCTCATTACATATGATTTAGACAGCTGTGCATACCCAGCAAATGAAAGGCACAGCTTTTATGGGTGCTGCGCGCTGACTGATAACTGAACAGCATCTTCCCTGCATGACATTACAGCAGTGCCTTCTATTGTCTAGAAAGACAGACAATTTAGAATGTTTAAAAAAGTGCACTTTTCAATTTTTACTAATAAGGATTGAGGACACTGACTATACATGTACAGGCATTAATTTAGGCTTCTACTGATTGGCCATCTGAAACTTTTAAGTGCAACTGCAGTGAATTTTTTTGAGGCACAATTTTTCCTCAATTTTTATATTCCTCTTCAATGTATGAAAATTCCTATCTGGTTCAGTTCAGTTCATCGAAAGTGCATTTTTAAAACACTTAAAATTACCCATGCTTTCCTGGACAACTGAGGGGGCTGTTCCTGTGAAGTCATCTGGGGAAGATACAGTTCGTTACATTTGTTTTTGTGAGCCCAGAATTTAATTTACTGAAAACATTTCTGAGAAAGGGATTGATGCATACTTATTGCTATGCACATTAACAATAAATCATTCTTGAAGAGAAAAATGAGGCCAGCAAAATCTGCAAAAATAACATTGAGGCTTTCCTCCTGGGATGACATCACAGTTTTGCTAAAAAAAAAAAAAAAAAGAAGAGGCAGTACCTTTAAATAGTGAAACAGAGGTTGAAACTAAGATTAACTGGGACACAAAAGTTCATTTTGAATATTTGTATTGAAACAAATTGATTGCAGCCTGCCTTTAATGGCCTCGTTTGAACGTTCTTTGCTTTCATTTTTACACGCTCAGATGAATGAAAGGATCCGTGGCTTTGAGATCAGCTGGGCGCTAGGGGCAACTATAGACCTGCTGCATTCACACTGGGACAAGTATCAAAAGTCAGGCAATTTGTGACGACGCACACACCAGGACTAGAAAAGCACATTTTGTGTTGGCTCACTAGATTTTCTAAATACTTCTATGGTTTCTTATGTGATACTGTAAATTTCAGTTCCACATTTTATTTAGAATTTTTATACTAGTCAAAAATCTGGAAAAAATACTTTAAAGTGTATTAACCACTTCCTGCGGGAGCAGATATCAATGTTGATGTTGCGGGGCCGGGATATTTATCATTTTTTTCTTTTTTCAAAATTCTTTAAAAATTCCTATCTTCATTTACTGGACGCTTACAAACACGTGAAGGACTGTCTGGTGTCCACTGTAGTCTGACAGGCAAAATCTATTGACACCTGAGTATTTCAGCCAGGCTTGCAGCCTTGTAAAAAGAGCCCAGATTGTGCGGTGTAACTTTCTTTTGTTCACAAACCTGGCTCAGTGTGCTGCTGACCTCTTTTCAATAGGGGCCAGATTAGCATGCAGTGGTGCTGTGTGGCTCATCGCTACGGTGGTGGAGTGCTTTTGTCCCCGCTGGTAATCCACTCGCTCTAAATGCCCCAAACCGTGGTATACTGTTTCATAACAAGGCTGGATTATTTCCACTTTTGAGAGTGAAACAATGTCGGTAATTCCCAGCAGCCTGGTCTTTTGTTCCCAGTACAGTCTTTTGTTACAAGGCCCTGTTCCCTGACCCCAGCCACGCATATAAAGCATACATGGCCGGATCCGGAATCCCCTGCAGGGAGTGGTTAAATAGAAGCCAGTCATAAAACCTTTCAAAGTGTGCAATAGGTCTCTTTTCCCTTACAAAAATGTTTTTCAACAGAAGGAAGAATTTTTCCACTTGAATAATTAGATAACTTCTACATTAAAGACTTTCTTAAATTACATGCGTCTGTTTATTTTCTGACATTAACTTTTCATTCCATTTGTTAGAATCTGTTCATAGTTTCCAATGTATTAGTTTAAGAATTGCAATTAATCTACTAAATTGTGAATTGAGACCAAATACAATAGTGAAAGCAGGAGCAAAGCAGATGCAACAGCATTTTCAGGTTCTGAATATTTTATTTTTCTGGTATTGAAACTTGACTGTACCATTCTCCTGAGTTCTCTCTTTACAGTAGAAAAACACTTTGAATCATCTAAGCAGCATTTTAGTATTCATCTGATGAAATCTATTTTTGTAAATATGATCAACACCATTATCTAATGGTGCTGGAAAGCAGCTTTTCTAAGCTAGGGTCAATTTCAGGGTATACGTGCGGTTACTAGATCAGGAGTTTTATATTTGGAATATTCCTATTGTCTTCCAGCATAGTGACAGTACTTATATTATTGTTAATTTTGACATGGGCAATTTTCTTGAATAGATAGGAAACTTTTGTGATGAGTGACAATTTGAGGAAGCTGTAAAATGTACAAATGGTTTGAAACAATGATCAGGACAGAAGTTACTCTTAATGTAATGCTTATAAAAGGAATGCTTCAGTTTTGGGCCGTACAGGTGTTATTAACAGGATTTTTTATAAACCTACTGTTACTGGCAACTTTATTTCCTTTTCCAATCCTCCGGGTTAAAGGTTTTCTAACACTTGTTCTTTGACGCTGTAATCACACCACAGAAATTACTTGCATGTCCCCAGAGGTCCTTTTTGAGCTTCTACTCTCTTTAAAATGAATGTTACATGATGGCAATCAAGGAGAACCCTCAACATTTTTCACCCACATCATCTCCATTTTTATTAGGATGCCAAACCAAGTGATGCCTCATAACTAAGCTAAACACAAAACTAGAACACAATTTTTTTAGAACAAAATGGCATGTAGATTTTTCTTTTCTGCTCTGCACAATGCAAAAGAAGGACCTGTGCAACAAGTGTTACAAGAGACAAAATCCTTCCACACCCGGTGAGAACCTTGATAATTATGAGAATCGAGAACATCGTTTCTGCACAATAAAAATCCAACTTTAATGATATCTGCACTTGTGAACTTTGGTCTGATTGGACAATTAACAATCTGAGTATGCTTCTAAATATAGACCAATGATATATGAGCATAAATGTTTAACATGAAAACTTTATTCTAAGTGCAGCATCAGCCTACTACGGCATACACCTAAACCTTCCCATAATTTGTATATGCAATGCTAATTTGCTGACTGATTACACAGGATTTTCAAGCACAAAGCATGCAAATGTACACTAATCTCCACATACAGCAAAAAGTGGCTACACTCATTCAACAAGTAGCATGTGCAATTGTAGTAATAAATTTACCTCAACATGCAGTGGCAACAAGAGATATCAGAAATTTTGGCTTCAGCTGTCGCCAATGCATCTGGATCTATTTCCTCCCATTACATTGTAGATTGATGGTGACAATTACATTCTTTTGATAAGTTGGAAATTTTGTGCTGTACGCACCCCCGCCCCCCAAATTTACCCACTTTCAGGTTTTGATTACTTACATGCATCTGTATGTGTGTTGTCATCATCTGAGATTTCAGACTACTGGGTGGTGAGCTTGTAATAAATGGTGCAGGGTATAACCACAGAGTTCTTCATGACTAAGCCTTACACTGAAGGGCATGGAGGGTGAAGGTTAGATTTACGTATCTGATACATGGAAATGTACCTATACTTTCAATATCCACCATAGTCAATTTTCAGTTCCACAAACCCCATTCTCTCATCATTTTGATCTGCATGTTTGTTACTTAAAACTGCCCGTAAAGGAAAGCACTCCTCTAGATGGGCAGTGTAGGGCTTTTTTTGGTAACAAGAGTTTAATAAGCTGATTTGGCAAGGTGCAAAAAAAAATGGGTGCCAATCTTATAAACACAAGTATTTGTGACTCCATTACCAGAGTTGGTACGTACAATGTGCATGACTCCATGACAATCTTGTATGAATGTTAGTTACACATGGGGAGAATACCTACAACACAATCCCCTGCCAAGTGTTTTCCACATGATTCCCTGGTCCCCTACCCCCCCCCAATCTTTCCAATCTGAACCAAAGCTTAATTCCTCATCCTTCCACCTGCAGTCACTGACACAGATGGGACAAATATCAACAGTTTTCCATTCTTTTATCGAAACCAAACCTAAAGTCTTACTGGGTTTTATCATAAATGTACATTTTTTTTAATTTAAAATTTTACATTTTGTCTTTCAAAAAGTGACTGAATTCCTCCTTGACCTGAATGCAAAGCAACACGGGAGATTTACCCATCAATTCTAAATGGGACATGCAGCTAACAAGCTATTATTCTGCCTCTGTAGTGATCTCTAACACTGCACACAGAGTATAAGCATGGAATTTCTATGTTAAATAAGATAAGTGTCCATGTTGCGTATATATATCCCATTTCCCTGGAGTCAAAGGTCAGCAGAGTTAGCAGAATCAGAGCAATGTCATGCAGGACCTTAACCCTAACACTCCTCAGTCCTCCAACAGGTGAAGGATTGAGGAGGGTTAGGGTTAAAAGAGTTAAAATTAAAAAAAAAACCACAAAATTATATGTAGGCATCACTCCAGTCTTTCAGACAATTGTAACAATCTGTTGCACACTTCTTTGTAGCGGATGTGGTTGTCATCAGCCAATCAACAAAGAGCTCTTCGTCTTTATTCAGCACCAGGAATTGTCCGAGAACATTGTACGCCTGGATAGGGCAAAAAAAATGACAATTGACTTACTGCCTGTCCAACTTGGGTTTGTAATTTCCAGTGATTCAATGGTTGATTTCATGTGGTCCAGTGATTTTCATATCCCCATGTCACTTTGTTTTACTGGTTTAATGTGCAGTTAACAGTCCAGTGCACTTTGTTAATTGCAGCCTGTTTGATTACATAAGCAAGCAAGCGCAACTGCATTTGATTGGACACTCGTGACTTCTTGTGCTCACTCCAGCCTGGCTCAAGTGGCCAACCTGCCAAGTTGGTTGCTTGGGGAATATCGCACAGAACCATAGGAAAATGTGACTTTGATGCACCCATTTCAGACACATATTCTAGGGTTGCACAGAACCAAATAGAATTAAGAGCAACTCAGGAAGACCCAGTTAAATTTTGATTTCAGATAGATGAAAAAAACACATACATTTGCATTTGCTTCAGCCCATGAAAAGAGCGACATCTGAAACCAAGTCACTCTGATATCATTCCGAGTGCCTTCAAGTGCCATTCCTCACCTGCTAGCAAGCCTGGTCACTCCTAATTGTTTAAGACGTCGAACTTTTGCTGTACCAAATTCAAAATTTGCTTATAATTTGGTTCGGTGCTACTCTACGACGCCTGTCTCAAACGGGTGTTAGTCAAACATTGCAAAGGAAAGTTGACACCATTGTAAATAATTCAGAAAAATAGTTGAATGTGTATATGGAAAATCAGCTCAAGCCAACCAAGTTTTGTGAAAGGAAGTCGAGAAATGTGCAGACGTCCACTGCTTATGACGGTTTGAATGATTTTTGCAAATTTTATCACTTAATGACCCAATCAGATAGCCTTGTCACAGCAACTCCAGAAACCCTGCGTTATCATTCACTTATTACCACATACGTGTATGGCGTCTGCCCCTCTAAGCCTGTGACGACACCACAGGTAAGCGTGAAGGATGTAATCCAACACACTATTGATGGAGTTGGTTCAGTATCTGACCTTCTCAAATCCCGCCTCTCGTAACCTCTCGCCATACTTGGGGCCAATGCCCCCGAGTTCGGTCACCAGTTTGTCCCCCATGGGCTCCGACACAAACTGTTTGTGTTTCTTGGTGGTTGTTTGGGCTCTGTCTGCCATGCTTGCTGAAGGAAGTGTCAATTCACAGCTGGAAACAAACACAACTGACAGACGTCAGAACAGTTGGACATGGGATTGCCATGGACATAATTCAGTAACAGAGAAGCTTTAGTTTAGAATTCAACTTTTATAAGCACACTGACTCAACATTTAGTTGTTGCATGTGCTTTTTCCATGAAACTCATTTTGGAGTGACAAAATTTGTTCAGAACCAAACAAAGCCCATGTCATAAACTCATTTTATTCCACTGGCACTCAATTCTAGTGACTGAAGAAATTTTCAGCTAGACTATAGCTGCAGATATGTGACCAAGAAGCAGTCCCCCATTGCTCTTGGTAATTTTTCGGCACAATAATGAACATACACATTGCAGTGTTTTGACGGATTTAAACATTTCCCCGTGATCACTGTTAGTCCTGTTCCACGCTAACATTGTAGCAGTGACTGTGTTCACGAGACAGATTCACAATGACCGCAATTCAAGCTCTCTAAATTCCTAAAGAGCGACATATTACAAAAAATAAAAGGAAATATCCTGCACTTCGTTGGAGGAGTTGATTCAGGCAGAAAGAAAAAAAATCTCAAAAAAGAGAGTGTCAGTCCAGTGGGAACCTAAAAACCCAATACCCATAATTCAGAGTCTGCATGCATTATTTAGAGCCACCAGGCCATGTAGCCACTCAATGTGAAAGGGGCATTGTGGGAATCACATGCATTAATGGTGTTGGCTTACATGTACTCGTACATGTACTCTTGACGAGGTGTTTGTTGGGGTACAAAAATCCACTTCAACTTTTTTTGACTTGCATTAAAAATATGGAGGACAACATGTTGAATATCTGCAGGATTAAGTTGTATGGAAAGAGGGCAAGGTTTTAATTTTTTGAGGGAAATTATAGGATAAACTAAGGCCCCCCCCCAAAGTCTCCGGTTTCTGGTCATCGCGCATGTTGCCGTAGACATGCGCATCGGCAGACAAATAATTTTTTTATTAAACATAAAACAATTTCCAAAAGCCGCCAAACTTACTGTACTTGATCAGCAGGAATAACCCACTTGCACATTAAATTTGAATAAAACCTGGTATGCTGTGTTATCTGATTGCATAGAAACGTAACAATTTGAATTCTTCAGACTAAAGACACTGTTGCTATACCTCATCATTCGGGGCAAGCTTTTGCGTAGCGACCACCATCTCTGGAAAGGACTGGTCCCTTTGTGCTGTTCTTATCCATTGAGAACAGTGTATTGTTGCAAGGCGTCTCTTATGTAACTAAGCAAAAGCTTGCCCTGAATCACAAGGTAAAGCAACAGTGGTTTTAGTATGGAGAATTCAAGTTGTTATGTTCACGTGAATTTAAAGAACTCAGTGTACCAGATTTTATTGAAATTTAACTCGCAAATGGCTTATTCTGCTACCATGTAATTTTAATGTGTTTTTGATGGGTGGGGTTGAATAATATGTACAGTAAAGAAATACCCCACTGGCCCTAGGCTTCCACACATTTCAGTCGGGCACTCTGATCAGATGACATCATTCGTGTATCTTTACACAAAGGCCGTGTCCGAATCAGTTGGCTGCGGCTTGATATCATGCATGATTCTATGGAAACTAGCAGTGGATGCTGCCAAATATTCAGTGTAATTTCTGGCCGTTGCCAATTGATTCGGACCCAGGCCTACGTACATGTACATCTGTGAACCAGACAAACGAAGTGGTCTTGCATCCTGCGTAAGTATACAAATTGATAACACTTTTGAAAAACAAACCGTAAAGGGCCAGTCTATTCCAGTGTTGGCAAGGCAGTGGTAGTACATACGCAAGCAGTGCATGCAGCGGCAATGGACATGCATCGCGTTATGACAACCATACCCGTAACAACTCATGCATCGTTGATCGTCACTTGCCAAGAACAAAGGTAGATTAGAGTGAGAGAGTTTATTTTCTGAGCTGAATTTTCTTAATGTTAAATGCAGCTTGTTTCTTATAAGCTAAAACAGAAAACAAAGTGCATAGTACAGTGTATATCATTTACCTCCTGAGAATTTTATTTTCATTTTGACTCTTTGGAGCTGAACTGTTTTCATTTATATTTTTTCATAGGCTATTTGATGTGCAACTTATTTCCTATAAAGCTCTATAGTCTATGCTTTAAGCCAAAGTGGAAAACAATGTGCAAAGAATGTCATATGCTGCTACTTCATGAGAATTTCATTTAAAACCGGAAACTGGAGCTGAACATTTATTTTTCACATCTGATTTTTAAATGGTTATGCTAACTGTATTTTAACAAGCTCAATCTTGCCAAGAATTGAAGCATCTCATTTGATAGAGATGACTGAAACCATTGCCTCTCGTTATATTTTATGGTCTGTTTATTAATTCAAAGTGGTTAATTCACATTTCTCATAGTAACAAGGCCTTGCGCTCTGAAGTATATGTGCATGTACATCACTTCTGAGAAAAAAAAGAGAGAGAAAAAAAAATGTGTCACCGCACCACTTTTGGACCAAGCCCATGACCAGAAACCGGAGTCTTTTTGGGTGGGAGGGCCTAAGGGTAACTATGCAGCCCAGAATTCTAGCATGCCTAGAGCATGCACTTAAACATGCCGACAGCAAAACTTGTTTGCTAGACTAATGCAGATTGGATGACGAAAAAGTTCCATTTAGAAAGCCAATCCATGATTGGTCCAGAAGTTCACTGTAAGAGTAGGACTGCACATTTTAGGACTGCATCAATTGTATGCATGATATGTAAAGGCAGTGAATGCAAATTGGCAGTGCACCTCGAACATGTTTATGTTGCTTCTGGTATGTTTAAAAAGTCACATAAGAAAGATCAAGTTTCACCCAAAGTGCCAATCAACACAAAAGGGGGGAGGTTTGTACATGTATCAGTATCTAAGAGAATGTTCTTTGAGTTTTAGAACAACACACAGTTAAGGGAATATTCTTTGGTGAAGGTGCCACTTTGCATTGAAGAAAGTGGTCCAACTGGTGAACCGGTCAAATATCCAGTTGTAGGCCCTGGGCTATATACATGTACACCTAGCACACACTAATACATGTACAGATGGGAGTCCAGGCTGGGAATGATCAACAGGGTGAACAATTCAGCAGCCAATATCACCTGTCCAGTTACCTTTTCAAAGAAGATAATTCCACGTCTGTAATTCATATATCCTTATCTACGGGATAAGGGGAGAGTTAAGAAATTCCACACACCACCAAAGGCAACAGTGAGGAAAATATACTGGGAAAGTAAGATTAAGTTGAGGTCATTGTTGTCGACTGCTTTCAGCCATTTGTACTTCAGCCGTTTCATCAAATTTGTACTCTGCACGTACGTATCCATAATGCATGCATGCACCACTCACACATGATAAACACAATTCTCACACACATGCATACAACTCTGTGGCCTGACTGTCAGTTCAGTTGCGTGACAGTCAGGGCTTTTATCATTTCATGATGAGACGTTCGAAGGAAGTCTGCCTGTTCTCCAAGTTACATGTATTTGAAGCTACTATGTCAAAAGTCCTGTGGAACGTCTTTGTTTGAAAAGAATGGAAAAAGGGATATGTGCACGAAATCTGTAAAACCCTGGCACAATCCAAAAGGTTTTGGGCAAAATTCAGGTTGAGACTCACTTAATTCCAGTAATTCCAGTAATTTATAAGGCAGTACTTACATGCATCTTAGAGACAAAGTAAAGAAAGGGATGAAAATACATGTTAAGGAAACAAAACTTGAAACTAAAGCTTCAGATTACTGGCCCATTCAGTTGTGTATTGGTACATGCATTTCATGATCCTGGTTACTTTGCAAATAACACACGCACACGTACATGTACAAGTATGGCAGCAAGGTACTCGTATGTCGCAAATTTAAGAGTGGGCAAAGAGTCTACAACAATGAAACATCTGAACATTACGCTCAAGTTTATTTTCCTCGACGTTGCCATCCAAGCTGGTTTGGGAAATTTGTGAACCCACTGGCAGGACAGATAACACAAAGAATATACATGTACACGTAGGTAGGCCTACATGAACAACGGTGAAATCGATTTCTTCAACAAGCATGACAAGGCAAAACAAGCATGTAAACTTTTGGGTCGTATTATAACGAAGCCATAGAACCTTGATGTCAGTCATAATGTAACATGTACAATGACATCCAACCATGTCAACCTGGGCTACAAACATGACATGTGGACCACGAATGTCTCAATGTGTGCGCTATGCCAACCTTTGATGTTAAAAACAGCTATTATTTACTTAATCGTGTTTAATAATGCACATATAGCATGGTTAGTAGGCAGGTAGGCCTAGTGTTACAATTATCAATGAGTCACCATAATTCGCACTTTAAGTACTTTGACCAAATTTATTCTTAAACATAGTTAATTTTTATGGCTTCATTTCAGATGTTGAAAGTTTGACTAAAATCCTACATGGAATAATGTTACGAAAAACATCAGATGTCACAGAAGCAAAAGAAACAGTGTCGTCTGCAAACGAGTTGGATCGGCTGTAGTAAAACCATAATTCGTACACGTTCGTTGAAAACGTCATTTTATGGGGTATTGTTTATGACCTCCTTCTGAAAAATCTGCCAGTTAATGTCCCTTGAGTGAGGAATTATTTTTGGCATTAATTACTCTGGTTTGGTGATGCAGTTTGAGGGAAAAAAATGTATTCACAATAGCTTGACTTCCCATCCATTTTGCTTTTTCTTTCTCCCAGATTACAATTTTTTCAATTTATTTTAAAGGTGCAGTGAGGCATGAATTTTTATTATTTCAAATAAATCATATTTAGCATTAATACGAGTTATTTATACAAATATACAAAATTTCTCTTTTTACGTGTATTTTGGAAAAAATTCACAAATACAGTGCCACCAAATCTTTCCCCGTTGAGGCCAATCTCAAAATCTGAGATGCAAGGTAACCTTTCAGGCTCAATATTTTGATAATGCACTCAATATTTGGTGAAAGTTGATCGAAGTCATCATTTATCCATTTTCTAGACAATTTCAACCGGTCATTTTTGTACTTAGTCAGTAAAGTAAACTTTTGTCTGTAAAGTTTATGCTCTGTTGACATTTTTCCCAAATTCTCCCTAGAAAAGCTTTTAATTCACACATACATGTAGGCAGGGGCCCCAGCTGCAAACAGAAAATCGTTGAAGTGACGATCGATCATCGACTGTAAATTAACATCAGGGCATAATTTCATTGAAAAGTTCCGTGACGAGAAAGTTGGATGCGCAAATACATGTATATGGGTCTTTCCACGAAGTTCAGGCACAGTTTGTGACAGCGTCCCTTGTTACATCAGTGAAAATAAACATCTTTTTTCCCTGCATGTAGATTCTAAATTGATATTGTTCTAAATCTTGCTAGGTTCTTGTAGTGGTGGTCATCTTTGGCAAATAACAATGACTTAGTCTGTTGTAATGTAAAAATAATGAACAATGAAAGCTACTGATGTAACAAGGGACGTCGTCACAAACTGCCTGAATTTCATGGAATGACCCATATAGGCCAATTGTAGGCCTATGTAATAATGTAGTATGCACGAATTTAGGGTAGCCTACTCCCATATTCCACAATAAAGGCCTAAGCAGTGACAAACTCAAAACTGACATATCAAAGTGACTTGCCAACTTTACCAGTTTATGATAGATACAGACAGACAGAGGCGCACAAGTGTTTGGTCAGGGGAATCCCCAGGCTAAGAAATGATGAACAAACGAAGGCCTAGGTCTAATTGAAGCCTGTTACTGCTGCTAGGAAATCCCCGCTGCCACCCATGTCATGCGTGTTTTATACTTAGGGCCTACACTTACATGTATGTCTGTATATGTACATGTAGGCCTACAAATAATGACCGAGTGGATTCGTTTTCTTCAACAAGCTGACAAGAAATTCTTGTGGGAAATCAAATCATAAATAATGTAATTTGCCAACATGACAAGAGAAATCCAAAATACATTCAGGTTAAGTTTTTGGCCTGCATGCATACCGTTTTGAATGAAGCCGATGTTGATTCGTTTCCGTTTCTGCTCTTGCGCTCAGCTTCATGCGTGACACAATTTCTATTCCCGCCGCTCGTTCCCGCCGAGAATTTTAATGCAGCCAGGGTTTCAGACGCACACTGTGTGATGTTGTAACGGCGAGAGTGGAACCCGCCGTTGTACGGTGTCCTATGACCGCCAAATTATTTATTAAAAATCGAGGTTGGGGCGATACTTTTTTACACAATACGCTGAGGAAATTGGACTTAACCTAAGGCATAACCGTGGCTCTGGGGATTTTTTTTTTATCAAAGGGACGTTAAGTCAAAAAAAGTGTGAATTTTAACACCACAGTTTTTGCAGTGTACGTTCAAACGAGTATAGGTGTAACGGCGATGACTTGAGTTTACGCCTATTGAAGCTTTCGTTGGCTTATTTTGAAAATCCGCGGTGACCGACAAAGCCCTTCATCTAAAATGTTTCTTTCGATCGGGCAATCATCCAACGGGGGGCTAGTTAATATTGTTCAGTTGTTTTGGTATGTCTTAGTGTCAAGCACAATATATTCAGTGCGAAGGAAGACACTTGGTTGGGCGAATAGGTGGTAGGTCTGTGGAGAGAAAAATCGCATGAGACCACAACTTGTCAGGCGCCCTGCTAGGTGAAATGCTTTGCAGTCCAGTAATTACGGGCACTGACCACTTCGCAAGTATACATGTATTGTTAACTTACAGTAAGGGATTTGAATTTCTCATTCCTGGCCAGGCGAGGCCAACCTAAGGGCCCAAACCCCCCGACCAATTTCTTTTGTATAAGTCGATGTTAAGTGAATAGAATGTATGATACTGGTCCAGTATAAATTAGGTATAGACCTTCCTATGCCAAGGCCTGCATGGGGGGACCGGGTTAGCGTAGCTTAATTAATTTGCACCAATGGGGCCCGGGTTCGAGTCCTGGCTTGGCCCAGGCTTTAAGTGCATTTGGTTTCCGGGCCATACTCGCTCTGGAAGCTTTTCTCCGGGTACTCCGGGTTTAAAGGCCTCCTGCTTTTAAACTGGACCTTCGTCCTAACTCCATTATGATGCTGATTAATAAAGATTATGAATAAACGTATAGTTATTGGCGCAAATAGCCTAGTAGTTGAGAGCCCCATTAAACAGAATGAATCATAATGTTAACGAGTGTAAGGTGATGTTTGACTCGTTCAAAAAGGTTTATTCGTCTATCTTATGTGTTTGGTTCCCATATTCTTGAAACTTTTGATCGTTATAAGTATNTGATTGCATCTGATGATTTAAGTTGGTAAAAGCACATTGATTCGATTGTTTCTGCAACAAATAGGATGTTGGGCTTTGTTTAATAATTTCAACACAGCATTTATGGAAAATGGGGATTCAAGGCACTTGTGAACGCCATTTTGAGCTGTCTTCGCCAGGTAAAAATGTGAGAAAAAACTGTTGAAAAAAATTTCCCATACAGTAGGAGGACTTTCATACCCTGGACGTTAGTCGCAGTGCAATGTAGACGTCGGCCAACCTGGGCTAACATAACTACATGTGAACATGTGTTCACCTAGGTGATTTGCCACAATTTTCTCAAGGCACTTTGAAACGGTAGAACAGAACTATAATTACCAGGGTCATGCTTACTGCCTGATTTATGTATTGGCACATCATTAATCATCTTCAACTCGGCATGATGGGACCTGCCCTGTAGAAAGAGATGCGTCAAAGAGCTTGGATAACGGATGGGCTATTGAATCAGCCGAAATCTTGAGAAGTAGTGGAGGAATATCGTCAATAAAGCCACATGCTTTATGAGTTTGAAGGCCTTTGAGCATGCGTTTCACTTCAAAGGCGGAGGTTTCAACAGTACTGACCCGAATTTTAGAGTTACAATGGTCACAAACTGGATAAAGTTTTGATTCTCGGGTAGAGTAAAATTGCTTTGAAAACTTCTGAGAAATGCATTTGCAACGCTAGACGGGTCAGAAATGGTTTCTCCTTCTACATGGAGGGAAGTCAGGGTGGAAGATTTACGAGGTGAGCTGACAAGGGCAAAAAAAAAAACGCTTAGGATTTTCAGCACAATTCAAAACAAGTTCTTTAAGGTTGTTAGAGTAACATTTCATTGTTTCATACTCGACCTGGTTGGGAAGACATTTGTACTTATTCCAACAATGAAGCCCGCCTGATCTCATAACAACTTTATAAGCTCTATTATATGTCTTGTGAAGGTGGCTAGATCGCTTCCTATCCAAGGTTGACGCCTCCTACCTTTTTGTGTTACAAGTGGAACTGTTTCATGAAGAATTAACGGCTGCGAAAAGGAAATCCTTAAATTACTCACATTGTGTCTATGTCTATATCGGGCGAAGTATGCAAATCCCAATCAACCTTATTAATTCAAGGATAAAAGTTTGGTCAGCTTTCTGTTAGGGAAAAAAGAGCATGCAAGTGACTTTCTCTTACATGATAAGCTAACATGAAATGTACCAGACACCATCATCACTCGAGCCAAGGCCAGCACAGCGCTCAACACTGGAAAAACCCGAGGTGAATTGATGAATATAAAGGTCCAGAATAGTGGCCTGATCAGGGTTATGAACGTCGGGTATTGCATAATCTCTCATTTAGGCTAGAGCAGTTAGCACCATAACTGATATTAAAATCACCAAATACAGAAACAGCTAGGTAGTTATGACTGAAAACCCAAACCGTTTCTAATACAGATTGGTAATCTTCAAAAATGTGGCATTAGAGTTTGGGGGTCTATAAAGATACCCAAGCCTAGGAGCAGTTTGCCATTTGCCTTGTGCTGATCTCGACTCCCAACAGTTCAAGATTCTCATGTTCAAAGTCATATGCAGGCAGGTTTTAGATGATCAGCCGCTGTGAATAGCACTCCTCCGCCATGAGGTCTTAACGAACACAGTTCATTCTTCAAGGAGAGAATTTCAACGTCATTGATTGAGCTGCCCAACCAGGTTTCAATCCACAATGCAAAATCAAAGTTTCCTGTAGACAGTTCCACATCCAATAGTCGAGGTTTATTGACGATGCTTCATGAATTGTAGAGTATCGCAGACTGAGCCTTGCGCAAACTTGGCTGTGCGGGGGTTGTCAGGAACCTTAGGAAAGGAATAAGTCGAGATGGGCCGGGTTGTAGCTGAAATGGGAATAGGCTTATCCGATGGCGATGATTCTGTTTCAGGGCAATCTGTGGTCAAAGTAGGCCTACATGTAGACATGTCTAAATGAAAATTAATGTTAACCTTGTAGCAGGCAGCTTCTACAAAACCACGTCGAGGACGAGGGAATGCAAGCTGCTGGTATTTCTTCAAGGCCAGTGTCTGTACAATTGCAATGGGTCTAGCACATCACGACAGATGCCACGCTGATGCGATTTTACGGGCTTGCGGCATATGGTACATGGATACTTGGTCGGACCAGGATTCATTTCTTCATCTCCAGCCAACACTGCCATGGTTAGGCCTAATGGTAGGTCCTTAAGGTAATGATCTCTACGAGTGTTAGTATTAAAAGAGCACTGATATGGGTAGGCCTAGTTGGTGGATAATATGGAGGTATCCCTCTGCCATATGAAAAACATAATTGCAAAAGCCCTGGACCAGTTATTCCCCATAATGGAAACAATGCTGTGAAACTGCAAACACTCTAATGATGACGTTGTTGATCTGCTAAGTAAGGTCTTGTTAATGTTGCTGCATGGTGTGGTCACTGGCCAAATAAAAAAGTTGCCTTTGCGAGCATACCACTACATAAATCGTGCGATGTTTCACTGGACATTCACAATGGCCCACTTGATAAAGAAAAATTGAGCATTGTTTGGTTTTATACATATCGAAGCAATTGTGTAGCGCCTCAAGAATGGTTGCGTTAATATTACCACCACCGTGCGGGGACACCAGTTATGACGTTATTTATGGTCGCTGGATTTGTCCAGCTTTACGTTAACTTTAAATGCAGTTTTTCTGTGAAAAGCCAAAGTTGACAGAAAGTTCCATCTTATTTAGCAAAAATTTAAACCTTTTCCTTGAAATGCCCTTTTGAATTGCTTCATCCTACCTCCATGCTTCATCGATATTAAAATGGCGGCATTTCATTCAGTTTTTAGTAGAAGTACTTCACATTAAGCGTTTATATTTGCATGATATTTTTTAACACTGTGTGATATATTCTCTTGGTTTAATATGCAATCACGGTCGAAGTCATAGTTTTTTCAAGTAATGGTCTGCAAACAGAAATGTCCACAGACTTTAATTGAACGCCGCAGAGGTCAACGTGACACGAATTGCTTGACAACGGGAGCACGCCGACAAACTAGACCTCTCTTTTGTTTACAAACTGCTTTGTTCAGAGGGCCAAAATATCCATATTTGTAGAGTTCACCATTGGTTAACGACTGCAGCTTTTGTCTCAAGACGTACATCGTGGTACATGTATTAATAATTGCATTTTAGTTCTTGCTTAGTGTGATTTTGTTTTGTGAAATGTTCTTCTGTTCTTGTAAAGCATTGGTTGGCCAAAACTGCAGCTTTAACGTGTCAAATGAAAGGTGATACGCGACTATAGGAAAATGTATGAAGCTGCTTGTTGGTAGCTGCCATGTAGTTAGGTACGCGCGACAAGCCGAGCGACCTTTATGCTTCAAGGGAGGATGCCACCCACAATGCTTTGCAACGTCTGTACTTCCTACACAATTTTTCGTAAAGAAATTGGCAGCCCCGGTTCCGACTCAAGCAACTAGAACTTACAGCAAACACAGTTTACCTACTCTGATAGTGACACCTAACAGGTCCACATCAAAAGGGTCATGTTGCCCGTGATCAAAGGTCAATATCTAATTGCTTCAGTTTTGGATTTTGTTTTGTATATAGGCCAAACTGTCTTGTGCATGGACATGCAGAAGGCCCGACATCAAGCCCAACTATACGGTGAATCAGTACATGCATTATGTCTTTCTTTTTAAATGTTTTGGCATTATTAAGTTCATGGCCACTTTTCATCGCTTCCTCGAGGATTCTGACTAACAACTTTCGCCAATATGATGGACTCTACGAAGATAATGGTCAGAAAGCCTTGGTTCATACTGGCCATGTTGATGACCACTTCCCTGTACCTCATACTTTGTCGGAGCCTTCGTGATGGTAAGTAACGAAAACCTGTCAGTCGGTTCCTGTGGGATTTTTTAGTGTGTGTTGTATGCCTAGTGTGAATCAGTTAAAAGAATAGACTCTTTGTTTCCCAGTAACTCTTAAAAGGAAAGGCAGGCTCGCCTATTGTTTGTTTTCAACAACATTATCACAGCATATAATTATTTTAATCACCCTGGTCTTAACAAGTTTTCCACTGATGTTTTCAAAATTATGACACATATTTAGGAAAGGCGGACACAATGTCAATTTTTTTATCAGGCAGAATCTTTAATTTGCAATGACCTCTCACAAAAGGTGACCTCACGTTTTGGGAACACTATATATTTAAATTGAAGAGGCAAGGTGCTTGGCCCTTATTCGATAAATGTATCCGAATATTACCACACTGTTTGACATTGTGCTCAAATCGATTCACTTTGAAAGATTATTAGGTTCGCATGCTGAAATAAGCAGTGTTTTTCCGCAGTTGCCTCGTGCGGGCCAAATATGTCCACTTGTGGGGTTGGTATGGGCAATCAATTTGCTTCTCAATAGTAAAAGACCCCAGGAATCATTGCAAAGGTCAGAAAGGTCACATAAAAATCTCCAATTTTTCTTAGTCCCAGAAACAATTTTGTCCCCCTCCGAGGGTGTGGGGGGGACATGGCTTTCATGTGACGTGTTTCTGATGTCACGAAGGATAGTAGTCACATTTCTTGAACGGTCATTCCCCACACCAATATTGCTGGTATGAGTTCTTTTATACTCTTTCTCTCCAAATAACCTAACATTCTTTTTGAGCAGTAAACTCTGGACAGATAAAAATAACTGGGAGATGGAGAAGGGCTTTTCATGGCGACCAAGTTAAAGTAAGTTGATCAAGCTTTCTTCTTTTTTTGTCAAATAACAGGTTAGACCTCAAACGATGTGATATATACACACAGCTCGGTTAGTGTTTCCGAAGGGGTTTCACGGGCGCGGCTTCCGAAGTGAACATTTGTATATGAAGGGGATCAAGGGCATCCCTGAACTATGTTTATTTAGCTACCGCAGATCACCCACGTAGATCTAAGTTCAGATAACGGATTCTATTTTGAAACCTTAAACCGATACCCGCCGTACACAAGTATTGTATGCCCCCGGCCTGGCCTAATGGAAATGGTGCCGTGGAGCTATTAGCTCCGTGATTGTACAAAACCTCCAAACAACTCGCAAGGGGCACATCACGATTTGTATTATGTACTCATATTCATTGCTATTTGAGATGTTTTGGACCAGTTGAAGGTTGGAGCTTTGGACAGGAAGTAGTAATTGTGTGATATCTGGATGAAAATACGGCCGAGTTAACAGTGTTGTATTTCTGTAGAGGTTCCCTAGAGGTCGTGCCCTAGAGTTTTTAAAATATGGATTGTAGCCATCTTTCTGGTAACCGCTTAGTTACAGAGGGATAGCACAAAAGGTCCCCTTATGTGTATCAGTAGCCACGTAACCACGGGGTCCTGGGGGAACGTGCCCCTCCCCCACACACATTTCCGCCCCCCCCTAAAAACCGGATGAATGGATATTGAACAAGGCTTGAAAATTGAACAAGGCTAACAAAATTTTGCCCCCGCCCCCCCCCAAATACACCACAGAAAGCTGGTGCCCCCCCACATAAGATGCTGGTCCCCTCCCCGTAAAATCCTAGCTACGTCACTGATGTGTATCCCAGTGGAATAAAAGCTCTTAAAAAGCTGCCATCCACATCTGATCTGACGGGTTTTGCCCTTACCCAACGTATGTATTAATAAACACTGTATACTCAGTGCTTGTCTGAGAGCTTGCGAAAAAAATTCACAAGCTTACTCGGGTGGGACTCGAACCCACGACTTCTTGCCTACTAGTGCAGACGTCTTAACCACTCGACCACCGAGCTTGCAGTGGGCGGGAGGCCGGTCCGAGTCAGGTGTAGCAGCAGGTACTGCGAACGATTTCAGGATGTATTTTGCGTTGGGGAGATGTTAATACATACGTTGGGTAAGGGCAAAAACCCGTTATAAATTCACATCTCCCCAACGCAAAATACATCTTGAAACACATCTGATGTATACTTGGCACTCGGCGCACTTTTTAGCTTTACATTACTATTTTGTAAATTTTAACTATTGGAAAAAGAGAAATACGCAATTCAAGTTTCTCACCATCCCAAAAGGAGGGGGTAAGTTAACGCCGCTTTGTCCGCCTCCCCGATCAAAAAGGGGTAGAGGGGATAGTGTTTCGCCCACCCCCAGTAGGTCACAACTGAGGGCTTGCTATAGACCTTTTTCACGAGGAAGCCATTTTTGGTCATGTTCCGTGAATCTATCTCATTCAGTGTAATCTGTCAAATGGTGTGGTTCCATTTTGGATTCCATGCCGCACTTTCATTTTTAATATTAAGATGAAATAAATCACAAGTTTTAAACTATTCAGCCTCGTAAATAAAATGGGTCTGTAATGAACTTTAATTATTTCATTGTCTTAGATTTTATGCTTATAGGTTTCCAAAATGAAGTACAGTTAATAAAGTTAACTTTGCTTTCAATTTGGCCAGCTTTGAATACGGCCAGGTGTGACACTGAGCAGTCATTCTCTCGCTTTCAGGGGCGATGTCAGAAAAGGGCAACTAATTAAGGGTGTATACATCATACACATGACATAATTTATTGAATATTAAACCCATCCACTAGTCCTAATTTAATTGATCGAAATACATACAGCTGGAAATACTGAATCTAAAAAAACGCATGGATTACGTTTTGCGCAAGGCATGATGGGAACTAACATGCGCTGCCAGATACGCATAAACGAGCCTAACCCTTATGTTCATTAAACCAACACGACTTCCACACTTCGGAATGAAAATTACTGTGGATTACAAACTGGAAACTACAGTGCTCATTGCAACCATAGATACATAACACAGATCGATAACATACCTGACACAGGGGGATCATTCTATCTGCTCCATAGACCAGCACATTGGTGGTTTGTATTATTTGTGACAAAACAGTCATAAAAACAGTTATAAAGGTACGTAACTTCTGAATCACAAATTATGTTTCTGTGCTAATTTTTACTTTTAATAAAAAAACAGACCTTTAATTGATTTCCTTCATGTGTGTATAGCACGTGTTCGAAACTTATATTTAAACCTTAAAGGGTAGCTGATGGTTTAATGGACACCTTCAAAATTGCACCTTTGTGTCTCAGTTAACCTTATTTTAAACCTTTTTCAATACTTAAAGGATCCAGGAAATTAATTTTTTTTGGAATCATTTTTTGTGTGTCTCTGTACTCTTCGTCCACGTATGAAGACTGTTTGACATCTTTTTTGAGTTATGTGAACTGAATAAAGCACTTTTTCAAATATTAAAAATTGACCAAGCATTTCTAGACAAGTGAGGGCGCTTTTCCTTTGATGTAAATCCAGGAAGACATGGTTCAGGTTGCATGTTTTCATGTTCAAATTGTGAACCCCAAATTTGCTATCTGGGAACATTTCTGTGAAAAGGATTTTTACTGGATTGTTGCCGTATATTTACACAGCAATAAATTGCCCAAGAAACTGAAATCTGCCATAGCAGTGGTTAAAAATTCTAGAAATTTTTTGCGTACAAATCAGTGCAACATTGATATTCAGTGCCTCAGATGACATTAAAGTTCTGCTCATGAATACGCTGTCAACTGTCTTGAAGTATTTCTTTTAATTTTACATATTCCCCATGCAAATTAGGCATTCTAATGCACATGTACTAGTCCAGAACCACCAGGTGCCAATTTCATGGTTTCACAACCTTATTTTTTATGGATTTTTTTTCATTCCAGGGGGCAATGGTTTCCCAACACACTGTTTGGCTAAGGCAACAAATGTCTCGAAAACAGCTGCTACTGGACAATTGCGCTGCCTTCAATTCTAAAGCTGACAGCATTATTCCACCTCTCAGATATCCAGCAGACAACTGGACCCATTTTGTGAAGGAATTGAATTACCTCGTAGTCGTCGAACCGCTGAAGGTGGTTTACTGTTCAATCCCTAAAGTTGGCAGCTCCACTATCAAGTGGATGCTCTTAAACGTAACTGGTCACATGCTACCGGGTAATGCTCATAGTATTGCCGGCAAAACATTTCACTCGCTGAATCGGTACCCGATCGAAAAGGCCAAAGAAATTATGGCGACTTACAGAAAGTTCTTGTTTGTCCGAAACCCGCTGGAAAGATTTTTATCAGCGTACCTGAATAAAATTGAGACGACTATTGATGGCAACCTCTGGAGAACTCGCGACGCAATCAGATCTCTGGATGACTCCGCCAAGTCGGCCAAGAAAGTAACGAGCAAGAAAAAGGCAACGAGTAAAAAAAAAGTGAACCGCAGAGGCAGACAGAAAGTCAAACGGAAAGAAGTCGACATTAAAATTACCTTGCCGCAGTTTACAAGATACGTTTTGGCTATAAACAGGTCTGCGGATCAGCGGGTAAGATCAGACATGCACCTCAATGAACACTGGAATCCGATGTACGAAATGTGCCAGCCGTGTCTCATCGACTATGACTGGATTGGACACTTCGAGCATTTACAGACAGACATCCAGTGGATCCTATCAGCTCTTGTAGGGGGAAACCAAACCGTGTACGTGCCTGAACACGATCCGAAACACACCACAAATAGCAGTGAAAGAGACACGCAGCGTAGACTTTTCACCACTCTCAATTCTTTACAAGTAGAGAAACTGCTGAGGTATTACGAACTTGATTACAGTCTGTTTGGTTTTGATATACCCCCGAGCGCTGGAAATCTTATTAACAACGGATATTAATGCCTTGAGGCCATCTGCAGGGGTATTCCACATTTGATAACCAATGTCTTATCCCCCCCAAAAATCAATGGAATTCTTTTTTTTCTCCCATTTTCCTTTCTTAAAAAGCTGCACAAGAGTCCAGATCATCGTTATGTCTTTGAAGGGGTACTTAGCACGATTGTCGATGTTCTTATAGTCTTATGAGGTCCTCTGCATTCCATAATGTCTATCCCAATTTTCCTTTAACAATCAGCTGGTAGGTCACGTGACTTTAATAGCGAGCACAATGGCTCTATTACGATTTATAACAGATTTCAAAGGGTTGTGAAAAATCACCATAGTGGTTACCAAAGGGTTTGCAATTATGTACAGGGCATTACAAGGCGTGTGTACGGGCTATAACTTACTGAATCCTTGTGGTACCACCATGTTTGTGGTTCCAAAGTTCGTTTTTATCAAGTAGGCCAACTTCACTTTCGCGAGATTTTTTTCAAGGTTCGTTTGTATGAGATATTCTCCACTTCGATCATGTGATCTATTTTTGAAAAAAATATTTCCATTGAAAAAACAATTTACAATTAAGACATAGTTTTATCCAGTCTTTTAGGACGTATTATTCCAAGTTATTTTTAAGACAATCATTTCATAACTCATAAAATCGAAATTCAGAAAATATATCTCATAAAGGAGGTGTGCCCTATCGTGCCATGTATTACAGGCTTAACGCTATCAAACCACGCAAAAAGAATAACTCGTGATGCAAAACACAATTGAACCCTGGTATGGCCGACGTCTGGTTTGATGTGCTTCGGCTTGTGCAGATTGGAAATCGCTGTTTCAGCTCACCTCATCAACGTCGACGTAACACCGATATCTGACATCATATTCTCCAACCTTCCAATCGTAACGACTATTAAAACATATCAAGCATATTCATCATGATGACACTGATAGGAAATATTACTACATTATTGCTTAACCGACGTGCTGTCTGTTAAGTAGGTATAAATTTATCTTCTTTTTCTAGAGTCCGTGTAGTGGAATAGGAGTGGCCAACCCTCGATTTATACCAAGCAGAAACTCCATTGTGTGTACCCGTGCTTGATGACATGGGCATGCTATATGAGCTTCAATCCAGTACAAGCATATTTGAATGTTCAAGTCTGCATTGAAAGACCAAACTTGCAGTGAATTTGGCCTATCAAGTTTGCGTGTAATAATATTTGTGCCTTTTCTTGACGCTGTGTTGGTTTTTAGATTAAGGAATTAGTTTTAACGTTTTGGGTTTTCCATTTCATTTGATTTAAAAACGTTTTTCTTGGGTTCATTGTTAATTTACACCGCAAAACCTGTGGTGTTAAAATCAACACTTTTTTTGTTAACAGATGACCACACCATAGGATGTTACTTTAACACCGTTACTGTTTAACACTGTTACTTTGCACACCTATAAGTTTTACAATGCACTGGAGGGTGTTACAAGTAACACCAAATATCCCCAACATTTTTAACACCAGTGAAAAGTGTTGGTGTAGTGCTTTGATAACACCGGGGGTGTTAAATTTAACAACCCTGTTTTGGCAGGGTAATAAGTTAGTTCCAAGTTTGTTTCTGTTGGGTCTTTTGAAAGTGGTGCCACGGTGGATCGTCAGTTGCGGTATTAAAGATGTGCATTTATTATTTTTATTAGTTTTTTTTAGTGTGTCTAACTTTAATGTAAAGCATCTTCAAATTGGTTTCATATAAACATGTACCATTAAACTAGTATTCTTACTCACTTTTCAAAATTGTTCCAATTTTCTTTCCGGAGCTGTACCACTATGTACATTTTGTCACCGTCAGGTCAGCCGTCACATACTTGTGCATTTTAGTGCATAAAGGTATTACCTTATAGTGCAAAGATAAAACCTTTTGATGTAGTCTGGTTCCAAGACCAAATGATTCTGACTATAAAAATGGAAATATTTTTAGTTCCAATAGTCACCATGGCCACGTTTAAAAAACGGGAGGAATTCCTCCCTTACAAAAATTTCCGAAACACGGCGATGTTTCCCGAACACATGCTTGGTGATATTCGGATACTCTCGTTAATGTCCGAAGATGTCTGCAATGAACAAGTTACTTTTCTTCACTGATTTCCAGATATGCTGTGCGATTTTACCAACTGCTTTGAATTTGCTTCCTTTCTTTGGGAATACTGAGGCTATTTTTGTATACCTTTTGACAACGGTTCCTTTGAAAATTAACGGACATTCGTGCCCTACATCCCATGACATTACGGCTTATATCTTACATAACGCCATGTTCTGTATTCGTCACTGGTGGCTGTGAACCTAAAATTTATAGCCTACACATTAAGGTAATTGACAGGACCGGGAACCAGACTTATTTTTGTCCTGTTTCCGAAAACTTGCTAAATTTTTTTCTTCTCTTTATGGTGGGCTGTTTACAGTTGTTGCCAAAATTCAAAGCTGTCAACTTTGCCGGATGAAAGTCTGCGACTGACCTTTAAACAAGAAGGCCTACTTATCAGGCCGTCTTTTATTAAAAACGCTCGAAATGTATATTGTATATATAAAGAGAGACCATTTTTTGTACAATCAAATTACTCAGCAAGTTTTCCCCTTAAGTGCACCATGGGCCAAAGATCAGCATCACTGTTCGATGCATGATCTTAAAATGGTCACTGAAGTGTTGTAGTTTATACAAATCAAGAATTATCACATGTGGGAATCTGACAAATCCTTGAGGCCATTACAGCAATCTGTTGAATACGTTCCGTGGCTGCTGATACTGTTATTATAGCCAATCAATGAAGAGCTCTTTGTCGCTATCCACCAGTAGGACCTGGCCCTGAACTTTAGAGGCCTACATTGGGGAAGAAAATACCATAATTCGACAGTAAATTGCTACTAAATATGCCGCAAAGTACTTTTCAATACAGTTTTCAAAAAGATTTTTGTTATCTTTCAGGACAAAGAGTTAACTGAATTGAACTCAGTTCGAGTATCATACTTTACCAAATCCATTTATTCACAACCTTGCGCCATATTTCCTACCGATACCCGGTAGGTGCTCCACAGGTTGTCCCACATGGGTTCTCAACACTGTGCCTGTATTTGTTAGTGGTTGTCGGCACCCTGTCTGCCATACATTCTGAGAAAGGTCATACTGTGAACACAAGCGATTTGCAAAAGCAAATATACTTAATATTTTGGAAGAAATTCAACACTGAAAGCATGAAACGCTGGGGTTCTGATCACAGTGACAAGAAATGCTCTCAGTAAAAAACAAAATTTCTTTCTGTCATATTTGCAGGATTGACAAGGCCATTCGTTGACCCACTGCGCTATAGAAGAAAGATAATTACCCTGAAAACAGTCGATGTGTTTGTTTTCTGCAGTATGGTCACAGTGTCAAACCTAGCTCGATCTTTTCTTGTTACTGGTTATTGAAAACATTCCATACCTTAACACGTGAACGCCGTGAAAACGTCTTGGAAATGACTTCCTGAAGAGCTTTTGAGGGGGTAGTAGCTAACCATGTTTGTAATATTGACCACAAGAAAGCCTTTGTGCATGATAAAGGAGTATGACTTATATATCAGTCAATAAATTTCGTGACTGCACAATAATGTCGGCATTCCTTCAATAACGGTTGGGAGAATTTTACTCATACATGTAAATGCGTTCTTATGAATATTAAACACTGAACAGTTATATTGTCTTTACATTGTGATCTTAGCGAGGTTAATGGGACAACGGAAATAAAACTGACTCCTTTGTATAGGCTTTGCAAGAGCCCTAAATTTCACTTGATCTTGCATTTGAATCTTTATTTTTGTGTGCAGTATGCAGGTTAAGTGTGGGGAATCCTCGGCTCTTATCATGAAGACTCCCGGCATATAGCTCAGGAAACATCGATTGCTATATGCTCATGTCAACCGGACTTACAAAACACTATTCTTATAAGAATTCATGTTTTGCACAAGAGTAGCCTAGATAGCAAGCTATTGATATTAATATCAAGTATTGTGATCTATTTAATACGCGTGTACGTGTACTTACCTTTGGTATGCCGTTCTGGTTTTAGAAGTAAAAATCACTTTTGCTGTGGTTGTTCCAAAAAGGCAATGGGCATAAGTGTGGATAACCTGTGTGATTTTTCTCAAAGTTTTCGGAGCTTCACCGTGTCTTGATGGTTAAACATTCCAGATCACCATCAATATCAGTAAAAAGCCTAAATGGGTGACTTCGATGGGCAAAATAGAGAGTTATAAAGCCATAAACATTTTTTACCGTCCGTGCAGTGAAACGACCATTTAATAGTATGGCACCTTCCAAACAGGGAAAATTACACATAGAAGTCCAGTGCAAGATATCCTGGTTTCTGGGTACCAGCTTCTTGTATCGCCAGTAACACCAACCACGTTCCCTTTCCACCATGCCTTGCGTGATCTTAACCCGTGGAATTGTGAGATTTAAATATCCCACTTTTGGAGAGATTTAAATTAGGACTGTAGTCAATGGGTTCAGGCGCAACGTTGATTTATGCGTCATGCGCGACTTGCAGGGAACTACATGGACGAGAGCTTGTAGCTGAGATACACGTGCGATTCACTTTGGGTGCGTTCGCGCAGTTACTTCTGTTAACACAGTAGGATGCGTGCGCATTACACTCGAGTGCAGGGCAATGGCGTAGACATGGGGGGGATGGGGCACGTGCCCCCCACAAATTCCCGGTGCCCCCCACTGAAAAAAATGGAGGAATGGCTAACAAAAACTTGCCCCCCCCCAAAAAAAACCACAAAACAAACATATCACTGAAAGCTGGTGCCCCCATATTAAAGATGCTGGTGCCCCTTCGTGCACCCCACCAGTAAAATCCAAGTTACGCCACTGGTGCAGGACTATACTCCCCCTCTGGCGAGAGTATACTCTCGCTGAGTCGCGGGTCGTACTCCAGCCGTTCGAACGCTCAGGGGTATATTCTCTCGCGAGTAGCGTAGCTCGCTCGAACGCACCCTTTATACGTTCATGTTCACAGATATTCATCTTGAATTTTCAACACGACCATGGTTAGGTAAAGAACACGCATGCAGCCCATGGGGTCGAGGTTGCTGTACTGCCATTTACCACTTTCTTGCCATTCATTGTGAGCATTTCGTGATACAAATTTTATTTTCAAGATGTATTTTTGCGTTGGGGAGATGTTAATTGTATATAACGGGTTTGCCCTTACCCAACGTATAGCA